TAAAGAACATCAACTCTTATCTTTTCGAAACCAGAAAATTGCCTCTAAATTTTGGTCCACCGTTCGCAAAAAATCAAAGACATAATGAGAATGTCTTGATTTTAATAATTGTATATAAAATTACACTTAGTGAGCAATTCATACAGTAACACTTTTTGACATCAACAAATCGCTCGGTTTGACACAACAATAGAATATAACAATCACTTGTGCACTTCAGTCTCAGGCAAGAGGCCATGAAAAGAGCTTTAGGTCTGTGATATTATTCATCACAAAAATACACAAACTTAGAAAACATCTAGCGGAGTTTCAGAACAACTTAAAGCATGGCTCAGATTCCAAACCTCTGGAAATGTCTATCTTCTGATCAGAACAAACGTGAGCTGATTCTGATGTTTCAGTAAGACGTTCGCAAACATTCAAATGACTCGGTAAACTAGACACAATGCGTTGAATGACTCAGATGTTAAATATAACAAGATTGCTGATGTTATTAGGAAATTATTGCAGTACAGGATCTGTTTCAATTTTTTTATGCATCATTATTGTTATTATTCTCTTTTTGATCAAGGAACATTTTAAGACTTTGACACATCTTAGATTACTGCTGGTTAACTAAGCACAACACACTTGTTGGTGTCATGAATGGAGGATCAGAGCGAATCTCACAAAAGCATTTGCAAGCAACATTTAAATTTTTTTTTTAAATAAAAAAGCATTAGGATAATAAATATTTTTGTAGATTTACTTTTTTAGTGCAGGATCTGTTTAATATAGATAATGTTAAATGTATTCGATAATATAAATCATATAATTTAATCATTTGTAATTATTAAATCAATATAAATATTTTCCTTTTTTGGCATTAGAGTTGAATTTATCTTAAAAAAACTCATTGTTTTTACAGTTTTAACTCTTTTTTTTTTACCATTACAGTTCTGAATGGTCCTTTAAAGGCTCAATTATCCTCATTCAGGGTGAAATAGCACCTGTTTCTGACAGGTTTTGTGAGATTATCTCAAGAACACTTTACATCAGCTTTGCATGGCGACAATTAAATACATTCATGATGATGATCAGTAGATTCTTATTCAGGAATCAATCATCCAACCCACACTCATTCTGGGTACGTAGCCCTATATACATTTCTTGAGAGCGCCAAATACCTCCCAGGAGCTACGTTTTTTCCAGGGCGCTGTGTACGCATTTTGAGATCTCAAATTTCTTTTGAGATTGACATTCGTGCCTGCTCTTCCCGCATAAATCCACCAGAGGCTGCTGACGACTGACTGACTGACTGACTGACCCACCCTCCTCCTTCCCAGGAGCTACGTCTTTTTCAGTTTTTGTTTTTCGCGAATCTGCCAGAAGCCGCTGTGTGCGCTTTTTAAGATCTTAAATTTCTCTTGCGATTGACATTCATGCAAAAATCCACCAGACGTTGCTAACGACTCACTGACTGACTGACCAATTGACTGACCCACCCTCCTCCTTTCCAGGAGCTACGTTTTTTTGCAGTTTTTGCTTTTTTGGGAATCCACCAGAAGCCGATGTGTATGCTTTTCGAAATCTCAAATTGCTCTTGCTACTGCCATTCGCGCCTGATTTTCTCGCGTAAATCCACCAGAGGCCACTGTCGACTGACTGACCGACTGATTGACCCATCGACTGACCCACCCTCCTCCTTCCGGGGAGCTACGTTTTGTTGCAGTTTTTGCTTTTTCGGGAATCCACCAGAGGCTGCTGTGTACGCTTTCTCTTGTGATTGCTATTCGTGCCTACTCTTCTCGATTAAATCCACCAGAGGCCGCTGTCAACTGACTGACTGATTGACCGATCAACTGACCCACCCTACTCCTTTCCAGGAGCTACATTATTTTGCATTCTTTGTTTTCGCGAATCTGCCAGAGGCCGATGCGTTCGCTTTACGAGATCTCAAATTTCACTCGCAGATTAACCCTAAACCCAACCCACAGTGTTTTCAAAATCAATCCATAAAAAGCCCTCATGGCAGCCTGATTTTTATCACATTTTCAGATTTTACCACATTCTCAGTTATTTACTTGTTCATTTAATTTTTGGGCTTTTTTTATGTTTTACCTGCTTTCTGGAATTGTTCTTCGAACCCAGTTATCATGGTCAACTCCGCTCTGCATCTCAGATCCTCTAATGTACATGGTAAGCCACTGAGCAAACTGGTAACAGCGGAAAAGCCATCCACATGGAGGTAAGCGCGAAAATGAACGTCGTCGTATCACCCCATAGCTTTCATTTTAAAGATGAAATTGGTCCCTACATACTCCTGGGTACATAATTTGCGATCTCCAGAAATGTATACAGGGCTACTTTTTCAGAATGAGCCTATGTTGCAACCATCATAATATACACCCCAAATGAACAGCCAATGAGGGTTTCTATGATAAACATGGCCCAATAAACAGTAAGCACAGATATCACTGACCCAGCTTCACAACAGTCTCACAGAAACGGTAAATCCATGTCAAAACACATACTTAAAGATAGAAATTACGCTTTTTCTTGGTTTTTTTCTTTCAAATAACGACATGTCAGTGCATTCAAAGTGTCTTAAAAAAACAAAAACGCCTGGTTCGTCATCACACATGTCGGCTAAAATGGAACATTTGAAATGAAGACCAGCTTAATACCACTTAAAATACAGGACTGTATTGCCAAGCACACAACTCGAATGTAATGTCGATGAAACTAGCCGAAGGAAATCTATACAAGATTGCACTTTATAAAGTTCTCAAGTGTACTTTAGGACGTTTTCAACATTTAAAGGTTCATCAATATAGTTCACACACTTTAACACACATGTCAGTATTCAGATATAGCGGTTGTGTTTTGCAAATTTTGTGCTATTTTAGATTCCCCCTGCACCAAACGGTTATTTGACGTCTACCTTCTAGTTTTAAGTCCCAAATAAAGGGACTGATTAATATAAAGTGTAATATAGTACACGTACATAATGATAAACAGCAATCGTTCTTATATCGTAATTCAATAACCCAAATGTTTGCATATTTTTCATAAGGTCAATGGCGAGAGCTCTGTAAACCAGAGGGAAACACTTGTTTCTTTTCAACAAAACGACGACGCTAATCTAAACTACTCTAATTGGGCTTTGACTAATTAGACTCATCTACTACAGCCGAAGACGCAAAAACTCAACAGAACTAGTCTAAACCTGCAGAAACAGCCAAGACCTGTGCTTTGATTACAGATGTCTGTGCTATTAAATATTGTCATTTGATTACACGTTGTAAACCACAGTACTTTTTTTTTAGAAACATCGACTGATTTATATTCTTTATATAATCCTAAATATCGCTTTGTTTATTCATAAATAGCTGTGTGCTCTAATTGATATCTTTGAATAGATTTCTTTTCTCTTAAATATCTTCTCTTCAGATTGGATAAAGGCTATGTTTTTTTTCTCTATCCACCTTTTTCCATATGTGATCACTGCGTTTTAAATTATGAGTTGCACTTCCTGTTTGGGGAACTTCCTTTTATAAGAAATGAAATTAATTATTATGTATAATGAGGTCGCACTGCAAATTATCCATATATATAGTAGGTCTGCACAATATATTGTTTTAGCATCATTATCACAATGTGCGAATCTGCAGAAGTCACATTTCAAGCCATTTCAAGTGAATTTAAACCATTTAGATGCAAGAGATTAAAAAGTTAGATTATTTTAAGTATTTATACAATGAAGACTATAGTGTGTTATTTGATTATTGAATTTCTGTGCCTCAATACTGTTAGATTGCACCGGCAACCATTAATTGTAAGCACTATCATAATATTCCAATATCGAGCAGCCTTATTACATAGTGAAATCTGAGTTTGGCTCTGTGTTTTTTTTTTATCTGTCATGAAAGTAATGTTACGCTTCATATTTTAACGTAGCATTAACATCACAAGCATTTCTGATTGCCAAAGCTCTTTTGAGTTCATTAATACAAAGTCTTCTGGCAATCTTGCTTTAAAAAGGCTCGTTTTGAGAATTTCGTTGTTTTTCATTACCCTGCAGGCACAGGATGTCAACATGACGTCATATTGATGCTGTACCCCAACGTTGTGGGGACGTTGGATTTTGTTTAGAGGTGAAAATCGAGTTGACGTCAGAACCCAACTTCGGGCCGACGTCAATGTCTTGACGTCACCTTGACGTTGTGAGGACGTTACCATTATGACATCTATCAGACGTTGGATTTTGGTCAATTTCCAACTCAACCTAAAATCAACCAAATATCAACGTAATTTGATGTCATTATTGAACGTCTAAATAACGTTGTCCTTAGATGCTGGCTAGATATTGAATGTTGATCACCTGACGTCACAACCTAAATCTAACCTGATATTAACGTCTTATGATGTTGTGTGCCTGCTGGGTAGCTACGTTTCCATCCACCTGTTTTTATGCTCATTTTGAATATGCGCATAAAAATTGGTTAATGGAAACACTATAATGCGCATACATTTTGAAAATGCACATAAAAAAACATATGCGCATAACTGAGTAGGATAAACGTTTTATTTGATAAGAAAAGATGCGCATAAACTGCAATGGAAACACTTTTACAGAACAAATTCCAGTATGTGCATTAAAAAAAAAAGTCATGTGATTTTGTTTATTTGATGATAAAAATTTGTATGAATGGACAAACCAGCAGGCTGAGCACACTGTAGATAATAGCAAACGTGAAGGGGGCGGGGCACGTCAGACCCTAGAAAGGATCTGATTGGTCAGAAGATTTGAAGAGAAAACTGAAGTTTGAGGTGACGTGAAAAAAAAAATCATTAATCTATTTTGTCGGAAGTGGCAAGCTGCAAGCTTTACATGTTTATATCAGTTTTATATCTTTTAAACATGAATTTTGTCATTGTTTTGTACCACACTAGCTTATAACCATCCTTGAAGACTTACATACTGATACTAACATCTAAAAAACGTTAATTTAACATCTAAAAAACGTTTAATTTCACTGGACCTTTAAAGGGCCAGAAATCGCCTACTACTCAAGTATGTACTGCACTTGAATTAGACTTTACTACACGACTGTTTTAATAGTGTCTTCTATATAGTACGAATGGAATTCAAACGTACTACATCCACCATTAGTTAATGTCACATGACCTATTCACTCCCATTCATACATCTCACTTTGCATCATGGGATAACGTAGCGTCCATTGGATGTGCACTTCAGAATCTCACCAGAAGTAGTGTACTTCTTGCATACTGTATTTTTAAATCCTTTGAATTTGGGCACACTGCTCGGCTCGTATACGGTTTTTAACGTACTTTATAGTATGCAAGTATGTGAATTCGGATGCAGCCAAGTACTTTACTGTAGAATGGTTACTTTAAATCACTATAGTATGTTTTACGAGCTTAACAGAAGATACTCCCACAATTTGCACACAGCATCATAGGAAAAAGGTGGATAGTTTCTCTCCCCTTGTATTGTTTTGTTATAGATATATTTAGTTTTTTAGTGAATGTATCTACGAGTACCCGTCTCCAGTATAGGTGCGCTCTGCGTCCTCCTGGATGAACTCTTCGGTTTTCTCCCAGCCTTTCGCCCAGCCTCCGTTCAGCTGCGTTGTGGCCCCGTATGTTTTGGCCGGGGCCCCAAGAGCGCCTTGGGCCCCGAAAGGAGCGTGGCTCAGCGTGATGTCGCCCGTCTCCTCTGCTAACTCGTCTTCATCGATGAAGCCGCACTTCTCGTCGCTGGTCTCCTCCGGATCAGCCCATGGCTGCTTCTCGCCTGATGCAAAGATCCCGTAGAAAATCACACCGCCGTAGTGAACCAGCGACGCGATTAAGAACACGTTCTGCCACTCTTCACGAGTCTGACAGGCAAAAAAAAGAGGAGGATCAGAATGCATTTGGCTCAGAATTGGTCATTTATTATGAAAAATGCAGCGATTTCCTGAGATGCAGCCAGATATACAGAGTTAGTTCACCCACTATTAACCCACTGGTCATCCATGATGTAGGTTTCTCTCAGTAGAACATTTTGAGCTGAATCTGTGGTGGTTACAGATTTTTTTAAATTTTTTTTATTAAAAATAAACATAAACAAATGAGCCCAAATCAATAGTCTTGGCTCCTGATGACACACTTGTGAAGTCAAACAATCACTCCATGTAAGAAAATAAACATTGTTTAAAATATTATTGCCTTTAATACACAACCTGGTCAAACAGCTCTCAACAAATGTGTGAATGTAGTTTGACTATGGTCCAGCTTACATCTTGGATGACCTGTGGTTGAGTACATTAACAGGTAATTTTTGGGTGAACTATCCCTTTAAGCAGAAAAGATCTGAGATATTTTAACCATTTGATCCAAGCAAACTATAAGCACATAAACACTGAAACTCAAATGTTTGTGACAACCAATCAAAACAGATATACTTGAGGAAATAATGACAAAAAAGGTCAGAAGAAAAAATAATAAGAAGGTTAGATATTATTTACTGATCATAAAACTAAGCATACTGATTTAATGTTACCAAGACATCTTATTAAAGATATACACTGATACTAAAGTAACTGTATGTAAGCAGTTTGCTATACTGTTACAAAGAGCTTACTGATATACAATACAGACAATCAGAAGTGTTTTTGGGTGGATCACCGCACCAAACTGCTTATTTTTGCTCAGTTTGAGCCTCTGAATGAGTTGATTTTTTCTGATATGTACTTTCTATGTGAAGTTTATTTATAAACTAATTCACTAATTTAATTTAAAACCCGCAGCTGCTCCTCCTTTCTTAGATGGGTGGCACGGTGGCCCAGTGCTTAGCACTGTTGCCTGCAGCAAGAACATCACTGGTTCTAGTCCTTACCAAGCCAGCAGAGATTTCTATGCGGAGTTTACACATTCTCCCTGTGCTCACGTGGGTTTCCCCCGGGATCCCCGGTTTCCTCCCACCGTCCAAAAACATGGAGGTTAAGTTAATTGACTAATCCAAATCAGCACCATAGACATGCTCCTAGTAAGTAGATATCTCTCAGATCACTATCTGTTTATGATCTACTGCAGCAGGGGAGTTTTCCAGATCTACCTGAGCTTAAACCCCCTCTCGCCTTGCAAACAGGAGAGAACCCCAGACTCGAGGATCCTATGAGCTCAGGGCTCTCTCCCGGGACAACATGCCAAACAAGCTTCATAATCAATCAGCAGCTAAGTGTCAACTCTTGAAATCATTTATTATGAGCCATAGAGCTTGGTGTATTCAATTTAATGTTCAACAAAACTGTTTCTGATATTTTGTATTGTGTACAAACTGTTCAATTAATCTCTATTTATGTTAAACCCTTTAAGTTAATCATTTAGGTTAAGTTAACAATTTAATAATGAAAATGCATGATTTCTCACCTTATTTTTGGTCATAGCACCTACAATCAGAGGGCAGACCATACCAGAAAGTGTGCCGACCCCATTAGAAATACCCATCAGTATGCTGGCATACCGTGGCGCAATGTCCAAGTGGTTGACATTAAACCCTTAAAAAAACAGAATAAAATCAGAAACTGGGACGTATTTGTTATTTATGTTTATGCGTTCAGAATGCATGTAAATCAAAACAGACAATGTAATCCATAACAACTAATATTGCATTAATAATCTGCCGACAAAGCAGTTCCATCTGTACAAGCGGACAAAATCATAATCAATAATATAATAATAAAAATGGAGTTTAGGGGAAAAGCAAAGCTCTTTTTCATAATAAATGAATTGCACATTATAATGCAAATGTTTAATTAACATTAATTAATTAAAATTAATAGTTACACGAAAATGTGCATAATTATACTGTGTGTGAATTAGGGCTGCATGATACAGGAGCAAATAAGCAATGTACAATATTGTTACTCAGTATTGCGATGCTATTTCTTGCCATTTAACATGTCCCAAGAGAAATGCTATGTTGATGAGCTAGTTTTTTTGTAAATTATTAATTCATGTAACGATCATACAACAGATAATCAGAAGGTATATGACTCTTATTGGCCTCCTTTAGTGTTTTTCAGCTCTACGTTCACCTTTGGGCCGCTCTAGCAGAACAGCAACTACTTGGGAGGCGGGGTTCAGATAGTAAGGTCTCATCTGATTGGTCAAATTGGGATAAACAACCTATACAGTTAAAGTCAGAATTATTAGCCCCCCTGTTTATTTTTTTCAATAACCCAATTTACCCAATTTCAGTTTAACAGAGAGCAGATTTTTTAAAGCACATTTCTAAACATTTTAATTTTAATAACTCATCTCTAATAACTGATTTATTTTAGCTTTGTCATGATGACAGTAAATAATATCAGACTAGATATTCTTCAAGACACTTCAATACAGCTTAAAGTGACTTTTAAAGGCTTAACTAGGCAAGTTATTGTATAATGGATGGTTTGTTCTGGAGACTATCCAAAAAAAATTGCTTAGAGGGGCTAATAATATTATTCCTAAAATGGTTATTAAAAAATTAAAAGCTGCTTTTATTCTAGCCGAAATAAAACAAATAAGACTTTCTCCAGAAGAAAAAATATTATCAGACATACTGTGAAAATTTCCTGAATCTGTTCAACATCATTTGGGAGATAATTAAAAAAGAAAAGCAAAAACAAAGGGGGGGCGAATAATTCTGACTTTAACTGTACATGCAACACTTGCACATTAAATCATTCAATTTATGTAATTTTTAAATATTTGTTATATTTTCTGTCCTAATGTGAATGGAAACATACAAGTGATGTTAAACACTGTTTTTTTCTTACACATTTTTAAACGTGATAGTTTTAATAACTAATTTCTAATAACTTAGACTTTTTTTATCGTTGCCATGATGACACTACATAATATTTTACTAGTTCTCTTGCAAGATACTAGATCATAAGTCTCAAACTCAATTCCTGGAGGGCCGCAGCTCTGCACGTTTTGCTCAAACCCTAATTAAACACAGCTGATCCAAATAATCAAGGTGTTCAAAAGAGTCATGAACAGCTTCACTAGTTGGATCGGGTGTGTTTGATCAGGGTTGGAGCAAAACGGTGCAGAGCTGCGGCCCTCCAGGAATTGAGTGTGAGACCTATGTAGTACTTCAGCTAGTGCAATTTAAAGGTATAACTAGGTTAATTAGGCAATTTAGGTTAATTAGGCTAGTCATTGGACAATAATGGTTTGTTTTGTAGCCAATCAAAAAAGAAAATTCTTAAGGGAACTAGTAATATTATAATAATATATTCCAACACCAAACTAAAATAAGTCTTTCTCCAGAATTCAAATATTTTTTGTTATTCAAATGTCCTTTCTCTGTTAAACATCGCTAGGGAAATATAAGAAAAATAAGTTATATTTCACAGGAATAAGTTTGCTTTTCAACACTATGTGACTGCAGTACTGTAAAAAGTCCCACCTGATATAGCGAAGCCGCTAAAGCCAACAGCGAGCACCAGAAAAGAGATGGCGACACCTTTACTGTGAGAGAAGCCCACCACTAACAGCAGAGTGGCCTCCATGCCAAACCCTACAACACAACACTGTGTGGGTCAGCAAACGTCTAATAGACTGCATTTTCAGTGATGAATCAGGCACAACTCAGATCTCACCTCCACAGTTCATGATTTTCCTGACGGTGGTGGTGGTTAAGATGTTTTTGCTGCGCAGATAGTCGGCCAGTTGTCCACCGATTGGCACAATGATGGTCATGACCAGGTGAGGGAGAGCAGAGACCATACCGACCTGAATGAAGACACAGAAATCCTCAGTATAGACCAGCACAAGGAGGATTTACCACAAATATGAGCATTTACATAAGATGTAATGCACTTATCTTGTCTAAATCCAGGTCACATGACATTATAAAGTGTCCTGATATTGTGTTTGAGTCTCCGTGGATGATTTAATGCTTCTACATTGTAATTTTATCAGAATTTGTCATTTTATTATTTTGAAACATTCATTCATTTTCTTTTCGGCTTAGTCCCTTTATTAATCTGGGGTTGCCACAGCGGAAGGAGAAGCACTTTACCATCGAGACCAGCAGCCTGTAAGTACATTTAAGACTTGTTTCAGTTGTTGTGTATGGTTTGAGGACTTGTTTTCAGCTGTTTGTGTAAAGTTGTAGGACATTTAAACTTGCTTTCAGATGTGTATAATACTAGAAGCGTTTAGCCGCTGTTTCCTTGGTTACTATAAGAGCTTGTGTAGCAAACGCAGACAGTCTTGCGTCGTCCGCCGCAGTTTCGGCCCTTGTTTTGACTCTCGAGGCGTGTCCAGCTGAATTCAATCAGCTAGTGCTTTGGGGTTATATAAGCAACTAGTTTCACCGCGGCAGCCTCGTGTAAAGACCGCCTCGTGTGAAGACCGACGAGTGTAAGGACCATCGAATCTACCTTTCCCATCGACACTACCTTCGCCATCGACTCTACCTTCGCCATCGACTCTACCTGCGCCATGGACTCTACCTTCGCCATCGACTCTACCTGCGCCATGGACTCTACCTGCGCGACTCCACCGAGCAAAGACACCGACAAAGTACTTTAGTAGTAGTACTTTACTTTCTTGTTTTACTTTATCTCTACACTTATTTTTTGTTGTCAGTGCACTTTTATTATGTGTTTTCTAATTCCTGTTGTTACTAACACTCGCGAAACACGGGAGGTACGCTGCAGGCGTAATCCTCACAACCTTCGTTCAATACATGTATCTGCTATTTCACAACTCTCTCTCTTTGTGGGCCTTTGGAATTGTCAATCAGCTGTTAACAAGGCAGATTTTATTACCTCCATAGCTACATATTCTGACTATAATCTCATGGCTCTAACCGAGACCTGGTTGAGGCCGGAGGACACTGCTACACATGCTACTCTTTCTGCTAATTTCTCTTTTTCCCACACTCCTCGTCAGACAGGGAGAGGGGGTGGGACTGGACTACTAATTTCCAAAGAATGGAAATTTACTCTGATACCGTCCCTGCCAACAATCAGCTCCTTTGAATTCCATGCAGTCACCATTATCCACCCCTTCTACATAAATGTGGTTGTCATCTACCAGGTAAATTAGGTCACTTCTTAGATGAACTGGATGTTCTTCTCTCATCTTTTTCTAATTTTGACACTCCCTTGTTGGTGCTAGGTGACTTCAACATTTACGTTGAGAAACCGCAAGCTGATGACTTTCAGACTCTGCTTGCCTCTTTTGACCAGCCCGTCTGGCAGCAACAACCATGCCACTTTCAAAGTCACTTATATCCTCCTTCTTCCACATTCTGATGCTCGCTTTAAACTGCAGCAGATCCTCTTGACCAATGTCTGCACGCCTAAATGCATTGAGTTGCTGCCATTTAAAACATATTTATATATATATAAACAAATAATTTATACGATACAGTTGTGCAAATATTTCTACAGACAAATATACAAAGTACGCACAAATATTTTCAGTAAATACTAACTTTTATTATGATATAAACTTTTATTTTATACGGAATTAATCACAATGAATCAATTGACAGCACTAATATAAATGATTAAAGTCAATTATCTGTGATATACTGTATATATACATTTATTTGTTTTCTAAAAGTAAAAGGTGGTTCACAAATATGTCAAAAACTAAAATCCTAATCAAACCCTGACTAATAAACCCCTAAAACCGCTCCCAAGTGCAATGCAGCGCCAATGAAGCTGTTCAGACCGAGCGAATGCTTCAATTACAGCTGTCAGACTTGCAGGATTTATATCACTCTCTCAGCTCAGGAGCCAAAGATCAATAACAACGTCAGCTTTTATTTATGTACGCCGCTGCGAGCACACATTTCTGAATGGCCAACATCTCAAACACAATCCAATACGGGCGACTCAATACATGAATGAGGGCAGACGCAGATAGTACAACAGACTAATGAGACAAACCGAGGCCCGACAAGAAAGGATCGCGCATGAAACCAATCCGTACAGCGAATGATTCGAGCAGTCAAATGTAGAGTTGATTAATGCACGGAGCTCGTTCTCTCACCTTACTGATCTCGAAGCCAAACACTTCCTCGAAGTACGCCGGCTGACTGATGAGAAGCAGGTAGAAGGTCCAGCTCCTGCAGAAATTGGCCACGATGATTGCATAGACCGGCATAGAGGTGAAGAACTTCCTCCAGGGTGTCTTGTATTTCTGTTGGGAAAAAAAATAAAGGTGTAAGTTCAAGGAATTAGAGCATTACGTCCCACATAGCACAATTTATTTGGCCCACACAATCAGCTTTTGCTTGGCCCGCATGCCGCAATGAATTTTGGTATATGAATGAACTAAGGGTGCTTTCACACCTACACTTTTGGTTCGGAACGTGTCTCGTTTGCCCAGTTAGCGCGGTTCGTTTGGCATATGTGAACAGGGTAATCGCGCTCTGTTCCGCGCCAAAGTAATCGCTCCGAGATCGCTTGAATGAGGTGGTCTCGGCTCGATTGAAACGAACCCTGGAGCGGTTCGATTGCAGTGAGAAAGCGATCCGATCCGAGCGCGGTTATATCACTGTGTTTTATGGATATGTAATAGGCTTACGGCTATATGAAGAGAGAATTATGAGTAGGGCGGGAAGTTTCGCGAGTCTCCGTATGACTGCAAACGAGTGATGATCTCCCGGTAATCTCGCGTCTCCCTCCCGGTCCTCAAATAGGCATCGTCGCGCACCCCACTCACCCCTCCCCACCGCGTCTCTCCTCAGACACATCGCGCGCGCACCCTGTCAATCACCACCAAACCACCACCTCTCCTGACAGCTGAGCGGGACGCTGCAAAATAAACCCTGACACTCTGACCAATGTAAGGAGAGTTTACTCGCACGTGACTTGCTTTAGCTCTTTTGGTCCGATTAGAAAGTCTGCAGTGTGAAAGCGAACCGCTCCAAGAGCAAAGAGCAACAATGTAACAATTGTAATCTCTGTTTCGGAACAACTGAATCCATTCACAGGTGTGAAAGCACCCTAAGTCTGGCTTTCATTCAAGGGCCTAGTCGCAGTCAAGTTAATAACCCATAACTCTGCCTGAACTGGACCAGCTATGGCCCATGTTTGGCCATTGTCTGGAAGCCATATTTGGTGTGTCATGACTGCAAATTGATAAACCCATGAAGCATTGCTCTTTAGGCACGTTAATAATGGGAATGGTTAGTAATAGTTGATAATATGGTTTGTAAAATAATAATTTGGTTAAGAAAATATGTGTAATGTATGTTAAATTCAGTTATCTTGCAACATACAGGAAACATTAGATTAATAAATCTTAATTGTTTCCTGGATTAAAGTGAAGGCATAAACAGGAAGACAGAAATGACAAAATATTTCTTTACTCAACAAAACTATTTCAACGTTTTTAAATATGGGTCAAGATAGGCCAAACATACGTGGCCCACATATCAATTTTTTAACATCTGGGCCAAATACTACAAGGGATGGGCAATACCACAAATATTTAATGCGATACAATACCGATATATATCGATATATAAATAAGTATCGATACCACTTATTATTTAAAATGTTAATGTCATTTTTCAAAATAATGCTAACAAAAAAAATTATTACATATAAATATATACATATATATCGTAGTATAATAATTTTGTATTTAATATTTTGTATTATTAATAATATTAATACAATACAATAATATTAATAATAATATTGTGTAATTGTTATACTATAAATTATAATACTATACGACTATTTGCTGTGTCTACTATGTTTATATATAACATAGTGTGTTTGTGTGTAGGTGTGTGTGTGTTCTTTTTAATGTAAACTTTATAAATGCTTTGGCAAAACATGTTTAACATTTGTCATGCCAATAAAGCAATTATTGAGGTTTGCCTCTTTTTAAACTCCTATAATGTCTTTTGTCATATGGAGGGAGACTTGACCTGGATTTCCTTTTAGTTGTTTTTTTTGTGGGCGTTCCACACAGTTCAGTTGCGCAATTCTGATTGGGCAGAACGAAAGTGTGCGCACGCAATAGGCTAGTAAGACACACACAGACACCCTGCACGCATTTGCTCTGAGCGGGAGAAATTAAATAGTACATATGTCATATTGCAGCCTCTTGCAATTAGCTAATCGCAACGTTTCAAATCGCGATTGTGATTCAATTTTGATTAATCACACAGCCTTACTATATAATATCCTGACTTTTCCTAAATGTGTGTATATTTCATACTAATACTGTTTTTATTTGCATTTCAGTGTCCACTACTCATTTCATGGCCTTTAAATATGTATGTCTCTGTTGCCTAGCAACTTCCTGCTAAGCGAAACATAATAAAACATAACAAATAATAACTTTACTTTATCTTTCAACACAACATATTCAGTGTGACAAAGTGAGTATCTATAGTATCTTTATCTACTATCTTTGTATTAACAAAAATATTGTATTTTTAGGGTATTATATATTGTATTTTTATGACTTCATAGAAATTGACTACAGACTTGTTAAACTTAATTCTATAATCTCAGAAGAAGCTTTGAATGTACATTTTTTGTAGAATAATGCAAAATATAATGATGTATTGATAAGAACACAGAACTTTGAGAATTGAACCAAGATCTATGCATAAACAGACTAAATAATGAACTAAACAAGACACAGGTGAACACAATAGGCAACAAAGAGAACAGATTAACAACAACTAAAGAGAGAATGCAAACTTTAAATCCATGATTTATTCCAACATATTCATTCATTCTTTTTGGCTTAATCCCTTTATTCATCAGAAGTCACCACAGTGGAATGAACCACCAACTATTCCAGCATATGTTTTACACAGCGGACGACCTTCCAGCCTATATTAAATTCCCCTATAGTGCATGTGTTTGGACTGTGGGGGAAACCGGAGCACCCTGAGGTAATCCATGCCAACAAGGGGAGAATATGCAAACTCTACACAGAAACGCCAACTAACCCAGCTGGGGCTAGAACCAGCAACCTTCTTACGGTGAGGCCACAGTGCTAACCACAGAGCCACCGTGACACCCCAATTCCAATATAATAACAACAAAATAATCTGTGACAAAGGGATTTTCAGACGTACCTCCATGGCCCCCAGAAGTTTGGCACTTTCTCCAATACTCTCCTCGATGTAAGTCCTCTCTTCATCTGTTATGGTGGGATGATCCGCCGGGCTCTCGTATGAAACCAGAATCCAAAACATGTACCAGACGATCCCAAAACTCCCTGAAGCCCAAATAGAGAGAAAATCGTGGGAAAGTGCACGCAAAAGCAAGCATTACAGAAGATTACAGTCAAGATTATGCACCTACCATAAATGTAGAAGACGGAAGACCAGCCTGAGTACTGCACTAATATTCCAGCCAGCGGCATCGCCACCACAGCGCCAGCGTATGAGCCTGAAACACAGTGTATTACCAACGTTATATGTTTGAGTTTTCAGCGTTGAGTGAGCTATTTTGAAATGCAAATTGTATTTACCACAAAAAGAGGTGGTTGCTAAACGACTTCTCTCAAGTGGTGGAGCCCACTTGCTCCAAATCCCATGGCATGCTGGGTATGTCACACCCTGGACACAGAAACACAGGAGAACATCACATTTACTTTACCTTTGCCATCAAACAAATCTTTAGACTAACCTGAGAATTAGAAGTGTTAGTTAACTTCATTTCTCATGAAGCTAGTTGTAAATTTTTTGACCCTCTATGGCAGGGGTGTCCAAACTTGGTCCTGAAGGGCTGGTTTGCCTGCAAAGTTTAGTTCCAAACCCAATCAGACACACCTGGGCTAGCTAATCAAGCTCTTACTAGGCTTTCTAGAAACATCCTTGCAGGTGTGTTGAGGCAAGCTGGAGCTAAAATCCGCAGGACACCAGGCCCTCTAGGACCGGGTTTGGACACCCCTGCTCTATGGTGTAGTGGAAAGTGAAACAAAATAAAACAAAACAAAACAAAACAAAACAAAATTTAAATTAATTTAAATTTAATAAAAAAATGAAATAAAAAAAAATGAAGTAATAAAATTAATAAAAATAATAAATAAAATTAAAAAAGAAAAGTAATTAAATTTAATTAAAAATTTTTATTAAATTCAAAATAAATCAAAATTAAATTAAATAAATTAAACAAAAAATTAAGTAATAATAAAAAAAATTAATTAAATTAAAATAAAATACTGAAATTCACATCCATGTATCTCTGAGACGTCTTCTTCCAAATAAATATAAAATTTGTTTATCTATTTTAATATATTTTGTTAATTTATTTATACTTATTTTTTATATTTAATATTTTTATACATTTTTATATATTTTAATTTAAATTTCTCATGAAGCTGCTTGTAAAAATGTGACCGTCTGTGGAGTAGAGGAATGTACAATAAAATAAAATATTAAAACATAAAAAATAAAGTAAAAAATTAATTTAATTTAATTAAAAATAAAACAATTATAATAATAGTATAATTTTAAGTGTTTTGAAAATAGTTTATAGCTTTAATATATAATAATACATTTTAATATATAATATATTATCAATATAATTTATAGCTTTACAAAATACACATTTACATTTATTTTTATTGTAATGTGTGAAATCAAATCAAAATCACTTATTGCCATAAAATCACACCCAAAATTCAAACATAACATGAAGACAATCAAAATATTACATAAAAAAGCACCTTTGCTATATGAAATACTATTTATTTGCTATTGTAAATGTTTACACTTTAAAAACAATCCTTCAAACCAGGTTTTACGCATTTATCAGCAAGGAGTCCTTTGTAATGCTAAATTTAATAGCATTTAGTTTGATAGTCCACTTCATAATTCACTTATTCTTTGAATAATTGTTTTAGATTATTATATTAATTCATTATTATATCAATTTATTTATATTAAGTCAGAATAAGCATGTTAATTTATTTTTCATAAATATAAGTCACACCTAACTAAATGATCGAATATTATATCACCCATATTTTGGCATTTTATTTTCAATATTTATTTGAAACACTGATGTGGACGTTAAACTTGATTTCAATATGCTTTCAATGGATATAAAACCACGTATTAAAGTAGACACCAAAATCTGACGCCTCTTGTCAATACACGAATAACATTATCATTTGTCATTCTCTAGAACAAAACTGCTTAACGTCATCAAAAACACGCAAGTCTAACCTTTAAGAGATGAACCCTAGCATTCACCTGATCCTCAAACAAGGATTAATGAACCGTGCAGACTTACGCAAACGCAAGCAGATCAGACCCGATTCACCACAAACACAATAACGCTGCTCATTAAATCTCCATTAGTGGCTAATCGTCACACAATCAGTCACAAATTGCTGCAGCAAATGAGAGTACATCTACAGAGCTAATGTCAACACACAACACGAGCTATACTGCGGTCACAGGCAAACCTCAGATGGCTCTGATTTCAAGTCAACAATCATCTATTACTGAACAACAGTGCAGAATAACAGATGAACAAAAACCAGCAGCTGCGTGTGGATACTGTCAGTGTTCATCTTTTCAGCTTTTTGTTTGAATAATGTCACGAGCCGGTCGCGTTTATTTTTCAGGCTCTGTTTATTCTCTTCTATAGAGTCTGAGCTTTTAGTGTGTCTTCAGGGCGATGATGTACTTTTGCGTGCTTTACATATTGAATAATTCAGGTTTAATGTTCACCAAGGACACCTTTACTTTGTACATTGTAGAGTAATTCATTCATCCTCTTTTCAGCTTAGTCGCCACTGTGGAATGAACCACCAACTTATTGCATTTGTTTTATGCAGCGGATGCCCTTCCAGCTGCAACCCATCAATGGGAAACACCCATACACACTCATTCACACACATACACTATGGACAATTTAGCTTACCCAACTCCCCTAACACGGGGAGAACATGCAAACTCCTTACAGAAATGCCAACTAACCCAGCCGAGGCTCGAACCAGTGACCTTCTTGCTGCGAGGTGATCGTGCTACTCACTGCGCCACAAATTGATCAAATAGTTCTTTTTTTTTTATTAAATTACAATGAAACTGTGATTAAGTTAAATGTGTACATTGTTAATATGACAAGCTTTCAATGAAATCTGTCATAGAGGACAGCTGAAACAGCATGTTGCATCTGTCCCAACTCTGTACATTAAACTGTCTGTGCTAGGGAGATGCAATAGCTTTAACACTTGATAGCTATTCCAATTTAAAGCTGAGAAAACAGTGATTTAAATTGCGCGAATGAATAATCTGAAAAAAACAGATTAGACCAGTGGTTCTCAAACTGTGGTACGTGTACCACTAATGGTATGCGGGCTGCCTTCTAGTGGTACGCAGAGTAATCCAATATGTCATATGTACATGCAACAGATATTTTACAAAATATCAAAAATGGCTGATATATGAATATGATGACATATAGACTATACTTATGAGGTCCGAGCAGCATTTCCAGGCTTTGATGAATAGGATACTATAGGTTAACACTTTACATTTAAGTACAGGAGATTTTTATTTTATTTTTTAGGATCAGTAGCGTACCATTTTTAATAAACTTTTGAAAGCATATTTTAATTTAATCGTTGACATTTTATTTATTTATTTTTTTTACATATAAGCAGTAGTGTTCACGTTCAAACTATTTAAAATGTTTAAAGTGGCCTATAATAATAAATAATATTAATAATAGTAATTAATCTGCCAGGTTTTTAAACTGTGCAGAGCTGTAGCTGCTTAATTAGGCCTACTACACTACTGTATATCAATACTAGTCATTATGGTGGTACTTAAAGGGACAAATTTTGGAACTTGATAAAAAAAAGTTTGAGAACCACTAGATTAGACTGTATGACATTTTTTCTGAACATAAATTTTTCTTTTTTTGCCTAAAATTAGCTTCATACTGAAGGAATGGTCTCATATGGCTAATTTCTGTCAGACTGAAGGACCAGCTTAAACCACCCTAGGATGGTTGGCTGGTTTTAGCTGGTCAACCAGCCTGGTTTTAGACGGGTTTTGGCCATTTATAGACTGGTCTTAGCTGGTCAGGCTGGGAGATGACCAGCTAAAACTAGCTTGACCAGCCAAGCCAGGCTGGGAGCCCAGCCAAAACCAGATATGTCCAGCTTAAGTTGGTTTTAACTGGTCATTTTCCAGCCTGACCAGCTAAAACCAGGCTGGAAATCCGCCTGGAAATGGCCAAAACCCCTCTAAAACCAGACTGGTCTACCAGCTAAAACCAGACAACTATTCTAGGCTGGTTTAAGCTGGATTTTTCAGCAGGGTAGGTAGCATGAATATCATCACCTTTTCTCATATCATACCTGAATGAAGGAATCTTGTTGCAACTGCCCCATGTTGCAACCGTCCCTTTCCCCTAATTAGTTGACGTAAAAGATAACACTTCTTAAAATATTTCAAGTTCTCTATTTTGGTGAATCATAACAGAAGTTTGTGTTGTTGTTTTAAGAACTAAACGTGGATAAAGACGAGTATAGACGACGTGAAATAAATCCCCGCAGGTGCTGAGGATATATGAGGTATCATAAAGTGAAATTATGGCTTTGTGCAAGAAACTGAATACTGTTTACATTCTCTGTAATTCATATTCACTGTCAAGCGCGCACTTTCGCAGGGCGCATGCGCGTTAGCACAACTAAACAGATGACCGCGCAACAATAATGGCGCCATTTCAGTTTCACCACAGTGCGTAGAGAGTTAATTATGTAAGAATAATGATCGTTTTTTTGAGCAGACTGATATTTTCACTTCAAAAGACCACAATATATCCAGGAGGGTTTATTTTGTGATGTCTGTTTCCGCATTTAGTGACTTTCTGTTTGTTCATCGGCTAAAACGAGCCACTCCGAATTTGAAATGGTCCCTCGATAAGTACATCAACGTTAAATTGTCATTTTTGGGGTGGGTTATACATTTAATACACATTTAAAAACAGTCTTACTTCGACGAGGCCCTGCAGGATCCTCACGAACATCACACAGCCGTAGTGCACACGCGCAGCAGAGGGGATGAACATGTTGAGGGTTGATGTGAGCAGGATCGCAGCACCAAACACCCTGCAGATCAAAGCGGGCAGATTATTTTTAATTGTTCAAAATATGGATTGGCCTCCAGTCAAGCTGCATCAAATATGCAAGAACCCACTGTGAAAGTAGCCTAAATCTGTAAAAGCAAGAACATGAGCAGCAAATAAATTCCTTTTAGATGGGTTGGCATTGATGGTTCAGTAGGAATAGCAAAACATCGAAAAATATGTTATATTATACATTATTACATTAAAAAAGCGTCGTATTTGCTGGAGAATGTATTATTTTAAGAACTGAAAAGGTAAAAGCTTAAAGCAACCCCCCATTTTAAAACGTTTATTAATGTGTGTGTGTGTCTCTGTGTGTGTGTGTGCAGTAAATAAGATTTATAGATTTCAGACAGTTATACCCGAAGGCTGGTGTCTAGTAGCTAGTAATAGGCAGGAAACCACATATTTTATTAAGTATGTGTGAGATCTTATTTACATAACCATTTGTTTCAGTGTGTGAAATCAAAATCATGCAAGTAAAAATATTAAAATTCTCAAAGCCAAGGAAAAATGACTCATGAAACCTACATTTAAAACAGATGTTAGTGGTAGATTTGGCTACAAGATTCAAAGTCAGCATTAAACCATAATTTAGTAGTGTTTTTTTTCCCCTGTAGCAACTTTTATTTAAATGAACCAACAATAACACATGTGGGCGGGGCTTGATTTTGTTTATTGGGGGTTGATTGGATTTTGTGTATTGCTATTGGTGGATTTCATGTGAGTGACAGGTCGATTCCGCCCTCGCGCCAATAAACGCAAGAGAAGAGATATTAAAATGGAGACGCCCTCTCTAAAAAAATGTTGGGTTGTAATCAAACGTTGCGTCAAGTATGACTTTTTAAAACCCAGCTGTTGGGTTTGTACATATTTCCCCTATTGATTTAATACAACCCAGCATTTATAGTGTTTGATTAAAATTTTTAAAAGTATGTATTTTAGCCTATAATATGCTCAGTGACAAATAATTATCAATAAACATGCAATCATTCATTAAATATGATATCTTCCCATTTTTCTAATATGTACCAAATTATTAGAAGTAGCCTATTCTTTCTTAAAGACTTTTATTCAGCAAGCTTGAATTGTATTAAAATCAATATTAGATTATTATTATTATGACTAATTCGGTTTATCCACCTACCTGGTTTCTAAAAATATAAATCTATTTCAGTCAAAGGGCGTTTTTTGTTGAATCAGTTCGTGCCTCAATAGAAAAAAAAAATGTGAGAAACACACAGAGACACGTGAATGTGTCTGCTGGTTAATGAGGTCTCCAGAGGAAATGTCTGCTCTTCAGTATTCAGGATTCATGGCAACCAAATAAAGACACGACCTGGCCTTTAAAACGGTTTTTAAAATGTTGCCTAATATTAAAAACAGATAGCATGTATTTCTTTAGGTAAACATATATATAAAATGGTAATATTTAAGATGAATTACCTGTTGGCAGCCAGTCGTGACGAAATATATCCTCCTGGGATTTGTGTTACTATGTAGCCCCAAAAAAACGAGCCGTGGATCATCCCCACCGTCTCCGGATCCCAGTTAAACTTCGCTTTCTTGGGGGGAAATAGGAGACAATTAATAAATCCTTAAACATATGCAACTCTTTAATAATTATATAATAATTTAATATATATAATCTATAATATATATATATATATATATATATATATATATATATATATATATATATATATATATATATATATATATATATATATATCTCAGTAAGAAATTAATATTTTTTCCTCACTTTATACCCGTCAGATTGTCATATCGGAGTTTGTCTGCGCATGCGCACACCAGTATTGCGTTATGTTTGTCAAGTTAAACAAGAACAAAAAGCACACATACACATATGTGTTTTTTTTTTACTAATGGCGCATGGATTTATAAGACACAAAGACTTTGAGGTGGTTTTCTTCTGTTGAAAAGGCTCCAAAACAAGAAAGATGCGGTATAGCCATTGACTTCCATAGCAGAAAAATAAATACTAATGGCCACCCGTTTCCAACATTCATAATTATATATATATATATATATATATATATATATATATATATATATATATATAATAGTATAATAATTATATATATATAATAGTGTTTAACAGAAGAAAGAAACCACATAAAACAAGTGGGAGAACATTTTTTCAACATATTTACATTTTTGGGTCATTTGTGCTTCTAAATCATAGTATTTTGTATTTTATAGTGGTTGTACAATCTAACGAGGTATTTTTGCGCTTTAATTGTATATTTTTAAATTGTTTATGGACACTAAAAATGCTGCGTTATCTCAACCCAAAGTTGGGTAAAATATGGACAAACCCAATGTTAGTTTATTATAATTTTTTAACATGAATGACACATTTTAACCCAATGGGGCTGTCCACACCTAAAAATTATATTAATTGGATTAAATTTTTGTTACGGTTAATTGCAAACAATTTAAAGGGGCTTAATTTAAACAAACAAATTAAATAGTAACGTTCAACTTAATTTGCTTGCTTAAATTCAGCGCATATAAATTGTTTGCAGCCACTTAACTTAAAAGTACATTCAATGAATATTTCTTTCAGTGTACATTTGACGTTATTTTACGTGATGGGCAAATTGACAGGGGGCGTGGTGTAGCGGGGCGGGTTCTGTGAGAGGATGCTGCAGGTTAACATCATCATCACCATCACTCTCTCTTCCTCACCTCTTTGATGATGATCTTGCCACCCTTGTGGATGGTGCTGTTATTGACCATGTCGACGATCGCGACTCCGAGGTTGCAGCGGATCCCGAACGATATGCAGAATCCGAGGCCGCTCATGATGGCGATGATGTAGCGGCGCGGGAGCCCGAAGCACGTGCAGTCCACCAGAGGCGCTTTCTTCTCCGGCATGTGCATGGGCCGCCCGTCCTCCGTCAGCTCGATCACCTCGCCCGTCTTCTGCTTCCTCTCCATCACCCTGCGCGGACACACCACAGCTCACTTGCGTTTATTCGTTTATTTAGAGCGCTTTTACAATGTTGGTTTATACGGGTGGACATTTAAGGATGTAATAGCTATATTTCCCTGAGATGGGTTGCGGTTGGAAGGACATCCGCTGCGTAAAACATATGCTGGATAAGTTGGCGGCTCATTCCGCTGTGGCAACCCCGGATTAAATAAGGGACTAAACCGAAAATAAAGGGAATAAATGGATGAACGAATGAATGAATGAATGAATAAATAGATAGATGGATATTAAACTGTCTTAAAATTAAATGCAATCGAGCAGAGGGTCAATTTTAGTGCCATTGACTGGCTGCTAAATTTGTTAAATGAACACAGTTTCTTAGTGTAATAATCTTATAAAGAACATTTGTGGAATGTTAAGGTTTGATTGAATTTTAAAAATGCTGGGTTGTTGCAACCAAAGTTGGGTCAACTATGGACAAGCTCAACTGTTGGGTTCAAGTGGGAAATTTAAATTGAATTAAAATTAAATTTATTTGAGAAATAAACGTGCATATATGACTCAACGCTGGGTTACAACAACCCAGCATTTTTAGTGTGTATTGTAATGTTCCACATCGAATTTTCAAGGCCAGTAAAGAACATTTATTCTTGAACGTGTAGAACAATAGAATGTTGTACACACACACACACACACACACACACACACACACACACACACACACACACACTATAGAAAATCGTGCAATTTAACAAAAATCCAAGATAAAAACATGCTCTATTCTTTTTTATTTGGAATAATATAAAATATAATCTATTTTCAAGCGAAATCTTTTTGACTAAAACAACAGATTTTTCCTGTGTGTGAAAATGAGCTGTTTATTGTATTTGAATAAATAAATAAATTATTAAACATTCAGCAAACAAACAGGACAGATGGAGTGGAGTTGAATATCTAATCTGTCTGAGCACGACTTGGCAAACTGAGTTATTTTCACCGCATTGCAGCATTTTTTTATCCCATACATCTTCACCAAAATACATACCTATAGCTTAAAAATGCAGACGTGACCATATTTTAGTGTGGAGCACGTTATATATGATTTATTCGTTGATGACACATTTTTTTCCCGCCTGCTTTAACAGTTTAATAAACGCAATACATGCTAAATAAATTGAATAATGTTGCACAAAACGAAATAGCATATATATACATAAATACATTTATATGTATATCGATTTTGAGTTTTTTTGTTTTATAAATAATTTATTAAGCTTCTGAATCGTTTCATAATCTTCAACAATTTATAAAGTACCGAATTTTCTTGTATAATTAGGAGGATTTTGATGGAGTAAAAAATAAAACATCTGAAATAACTGTGAGCCATCAGCACAGGTTTTCATCGGTAAAATTAAACACAATGCGGTTTTTTATTATCACCAGAGCTGTGATTAATATTATTAATTTTATTTATAGAGGCATACATTCGCAGCTCGTCGTGTCACGATTTTCTCGTCATGAATTATTAATAATTCCGTACCGCTGTGGGCAGAGGAGCGATCCTCCGAGGAATTCTTTCATCTCCAGATCTTTACACGATCACATCACGATCTTTAACACATCCAGTCGTTCAGTTTAATTTTTTGGACAACGAAAAATATCTAAAGGATCATGCAGCACCTTCAGATGATGAATTATTAACCTATTGATAATCTGTCAGGTAGACATCCTTTAAAGGGATAAAACAATTGAAAGATATTTAGTAAATGTGAAAATTGACTTTAAGATAATAATAGTAATATTTTTTTATATGTGAAGGGTATACCTGTGCATGTGTCCGAGGGTTTTCCCGGCCAGATTCTTCATTTTCTCCTTGCCGGGTGCCAAAACTCGCTCCTTCACTGTATCCATCGCCAGAGATAATAATCCACTCGATATTAATAAGAAATATTTTAACTTGAATCAGCTGTGAGGTGTTTCAGCATATTCCTTGAGTGTGCAATCCTGAGCAGTAGGCTATTTCTCGACCTGGTATATATATTTTTTGCGTATATACTCCTTACAGGCGACCTATAAAACACTCAATCAATCGAAATCTCACTGGAATGTCCTCTGAAACTCCCTTTCCGACGACTTCTGTGATTCCTCGCTTATCCATTTTCTCCACATATTTATTATAGAGAATATTCCATCACCATAGAAAAGGGCTGAAACTGAAAAAAATGAGAAAGAAATGGCAAGAAGACGATGCGTGGAGCGCAGGAGGTGCGGGAGCGCGTTCAGGACCGCGGACAGGGAGCGCGCGCGTCCGTCCAGCTGTTCACGCGCTCCACACCTGCGCGCTCCCTCATTCACTCATCAGCTGATAAAGAGAGGAGTATATAATATTGACACGCGGTAGTTAACAAAGGATCCATATTTACGACTCACTGAAGTGAGGGCATTAGTGGTTTTGTCAGGTAGGCTTTCAATTTTGAGTCATCAGTTTTATTTGGATTGTTGCCTCACAGATTTTAGCTATTTGGACTTATTTTTATACCTTCACGAGAGAATATATGAAATAATTGTGCATTAATAGACTGATTTTGTGAAATAGGCGAGGGTTTAAAGTATTCTTGTGATTTTTTTTTCTGTGAATTATAATGACCACACGCGGGCGCTAAAGGACAGATATGCTAGCAGCGTATCATTTCAACTCTTCATAATTATTAATGCTAATTAAATTAATAATCTAATAATAATTACTAGTAACATGAATTTTGATTCGTACAATGAAAAAAAAGATAGGCTACTTGTGAATATTAACAAAGACGTTTATTGACTAATATAATCTAATATAAATAAAAACTAATATAAAGTTCAGTTCATGTCCTAAATTTTGATTGTTATTTAAATGTTAATCGAAAAGCTTATCACAATGACAGATGTTCAGAATTAAAACAAGTCATAATAATGTAGTAGGTCGTTATATATATATATATATATATATATATATATATATATATATATATATATATATATATATATATGCTGTATCTGTTCGGTATTTATTAGTTATCAACAGGTATTCTCTTAAAGACTTTTTTGAATTTGTGGCATTTTAATAACTAGCCTAATATGAAGGCTACGGGACGAGATACAGAAGGGTATTTAGCAATTTGGACATTTTGGACATTCACGAGAGAATATATCAAATAATTGTGCGTTAATAGACTGATTTTGTGAAATAGGAGAGGGTTTTAAGTATTCTTTTGATTTTTATCTCTGAATAATGACCACTAGCGGGCGCTAAAGGACAGCTAATATGCTAAGCTAACAGGGTTTTGTTTACCGGATCTTTTCTACTATTCACAATTATTAATGCTAAATTGATAATCTAATATTATTCACTTGTAACATGAATTTTGATTCGTACAATTAAAATAAAAGATGCATGTTACCAATAACAAAGACTTCTCTAAATAAGAAAGAATTTTTTGGCTAATTTAATCTTTTGGTAATATCAAAAAGCTTTTATTACAAAGACAAATGTTCAGAATTTGAAATAAGTCATAATAATGTAGTAGGTCATTATAATATAATATAATTTGCTATATACATACTTATTTCACAATAAATAAAAGCGTATAACATTATGTCTAGTCAAGATTTATTTGTTATTTAGTTAGCAGGTATTCTCTTACAGAAATTATTAAAAACAATACCTATAAATCCTAAAATAATTTGTGGTATTTTTAATAAATAATATGAAGTAGGCAACATTCTACGTATATAAAGCTTACATATTGAACAACATTAATATATTTTTAAAAATATTATATATAAATATTTATTTGTGTGTATATATATATATATATATATATATATATATATATATATATAAATAAATAACAGGTTTAAGTAATAATCTTCAGTTAGATCGATATAAAAAAATCTTTATTTTGACCATAAAAACCATTAAAAGCCTGAAAATTAACGAATAATAGAGATACTTCTATCCAAAATATCAAATCCACAGTTGCTAATTTACAGCTTAAAGTGCTGTAATGGATTTGTCTTAAATTATATATGTAGAAATATTATATATATATATATATATATATATATATATATATATATATATATATATATATATATATATATATATATATATATATATATATATATATATATATATATATATATATATATATATATATATATATATATATATGTGTGTAATATTATTTAGCTGTCACTGACACATTTCCTCTCTCAAACTACAAAATCTGTGAATTAAGAATTAAATTAATTAATTAAATAGAACTCAACAAAGGTCTACAAGGGATTCAATATTTTATTTAGGTGAAAATGACTTGCTTAAAGTGTTATAAAAAAGAAATGGAGTACATTTGTGATACATCAGCATTAAAGAAAGAAAGCAAAATCATTTCCACATCCAAAATAACCATGCATAAAAACAACTTAATAATCACGAAGAAAAACAAAGAAGTTAAGGCATAAATGCTGATCATCTCGAGGAGCCGCTCCAGAACGTCAGCATACAAAAGGTCAAACTATATTTCACCGAGAAATGGCTTTTCTCCATACAGCACAGCTTGCAGATTGTCAGCATAAATCAACTCAAATATTCAGGCAGAGATGACTAACAGTCCTTCAAACGATCAAACAGTGACTATAATCTTCATATCAGAAACATTTACAAAAAAAAAAACATCTTAAATATTCAAGTCACAAATAACAGCTAATGTTTTCCATCGTCGTCATTTGGCATACGTGTCAAATTTCCAACCGTTCATGGTCCGCATCATAATCTAAAGCCAGTTTAATGATTACATCGGCATACAAACTATATATAAACATGTCTGTCATAGATTCACAAGGTTTGCTTGTCCACACATCTTGCATAACACTGAGATAAATGACTCAATAAGTGCTTGGTGCAAAACAAAATCAGAACGACAGCATCAGATCGAGAAAGAAAAGCACAGATATACTTATATTTAGATGAATAAAGGCACATTATAAGATATCAATTCTGCCATTCATATCACCGGATTTGGCTTTGAGGATATTTGATGTCAATGTAAAGTGCAGATCATCTCTAATATATGAACACACAGTGATGATAAACTGCATTATAAAGCGTGCGAGTGAGAGCTCAACACCTCCATCGTATGAGCGTAGTGCACATATCTGGCAAAAAACATCAGCAAATAAACATTACATCATGCCTAAAAATCAGTTTTGGCGCAGCACTTCTGAAATAATACTGATCAATCATTTGAGTGGCTGTTCTTGTAATTCTAAAAGATAATATATATATATATATATATATATATATATATATATTAGTAATAAAGATTATTAATATCTAATAAAAAAGAACTCAAAATCTATTATTTTTCCTGAAAGCCCTTTTTAGATAGATCCATTCAGAACATACAGTAAACAGAAGTATTTATTCAATGTTAATGTAAAGGAACCGTGCATATGACTGTGATGTTAAGGCATTTTATCTTTGGTAGCTATAAAGGCATTTGAAATAACAACACCTTTTAATAAACTCATCCAAACTACTGAGCACTTCGAGTACTGCTAACTTACATCCTGACACTGTGTGAAGGAGACATCTATTATTGTTCATATTTCCCTACTTGGACACTCATGGAAATACTCAGTACTTGTATTTCAAAGCTGTGCGCAGATATTCCAGCTGTAGTTCATGAGACATACAAACCCAGTCAACAAAACGGCTTATATGTTGTATTAACTCAAGTACTTGTATGTCAAGTACTCATCAAAAGAAGTAGAGCACTTGTATGCTTGATGAAATGCAAGTACTCTCAAAAAATGAGAGCAGTCTGGGTTTTAGGTACTTTCTTGTATTCTTACATACTGACTACTTGAATACTCTTGATTATGAGTACTTGTAGTAGATCTTGTAGTGATTCATAGTTGTCCAAACCCCATCAAATGGTTTATATTTCACTCTGTGGTATTTGTAAGGTACCTGTATTTCTTGTACTCATGAGTACTGAGTACTTGTATACCTGTTGAAATTCACATACTGAGTACTGTGGACAATTCTTGTAATTCAAAGTGAATCACACAAACCCAGACAAGAAAAATGCAGCATTAATTTCAGTATTTGTAAGTTTGAGAGGGGAGTACTTCAAATGTATTTCTAAGCTGTGTGGAGAATGTATTAATCAGAGTACATCACACAGACCTGGTCCAGAAAATGGATTACTCGTACTTGTTTTTTCTTGTACTCATCAAAACACAAGTACTTGGATACTTTTCAGAATACAATCATCATGTATTACTGGTTTGATTTATGAGTACTGGGTACTTGTATACTTAGGTTCATATTTTACGCAATTCGGGTTGTACGTACTTGTATTTGTTAAACTCGTCAAGAAAGCACTTGGGTGCTCATCCAAATGCAATTACTAACTGGTAGTAATGTTGTCATGATACTGGAACTTGATACCAATCGGTACTGAAATTTCGAAAACGTCCATTTTAAACAGTCATTTTTGTTGAGCACGTGACCACAATGGCAGATCAGCGCTGTTTAAGAATGCGCTCAACGGAGCTCAAATTAGGGCTGCACAATATATAATTTCAGCATTGATATCGCAATGTGCACATCCGCAATTGTCTCATCGCAAGATATGCAATGTTGACACTGGATTATAGCTGACCAGGAGCTACAGAATTAATTACTGTATTTATATAAACGGTTAAAAAAAATGGTCTTGTTTCAAGTCCAAATATCTATATTTCAAAGTGAAAACAAGGCTATTTTACTTCCTCACTGGCAGAAAATTTTACTCGTTTTGAGGAAAAACTCTTAAAAAGGCTCATTCTGAAAACGTGCCTATATATACATTACTGTAGAACTCCAGATACGTCCCAGGAGCTACGTTTTTGCAGTTTTTGTTTTTCCGAATCCAGGAGAGGCCGCTCCTTTGAGATCTCTCGCGAGTGCCATTCGCGCCTGCTGTTCCCTCGTAAATCCACCAGAGGCCGCTGTCGACTGACTGTTTGACACACTGAATGACTGACCAACCGACTGACCCACTCTCCCCCTTCCCTAAACCCAACTGGCAAATTTAAAAAGCAATTGAGTAAAAGAAAAGCCCTGTCTGATTTTTTTTACTACATTTTGCCACGTTTTCACCATGTTATATACTTGTTTATTTTATTTTATGGCTTCTGATTTTACCCGCTTTCTGGAACCGTTCTTCACCGGACTCGAACCCCGTTGTTGCGGTCATGTCCTCTGCATTTAAAGTCCACTGACGTACACGCGAGCTACTGGACAAACTGGTAACAGCCGGAAAACCACCCATACAGAGGTAACAGTCAGCTGGTAAGCATGAAAAGGAACGGTGTCATACCGCGCCGTAGTGTTCATTTAAAAAATGAAATGCAGCCATACCTTCCTCTGGCTATATAATTCACGACCTCCAGAAATGTACACAGGGCTACGTTTTCAGAATGAGCCTATGTTGAAAGTAAGAGAAGCAAGTTTCGCATTTTGATTTTTCGATTTCTGAACCCGACTCCCCAGAAAACCGTCAAATAGTGCTTTTCAAAGCATCTTGATAAACTATATTCATATCGCAAGATTTATTGCAGAAAAATAACATTGCAATATCAGATTTAGGCAATATCAGTGGGAAATGGACATTTTTAAATTACTTCACCGATTGGTATCAAATTCCAGGACTCTGACAACACTTATCGTTAGCGAACGTCCATACTTTATATAGAAATGTAAGTACTCAGTACTCAAAGCTGTGTGGAGACATTGTTATAACTAGGCCCACATGGAATCTGCGCGCGCAGATTTTCTGCAGAATTCTGCAGATTTTTAGCCCGTCATTAATTCTGTTTATTTACTTGAGTAAATGTGTGTAAATCTATATTAATTCAGTTTTAACAAAATTACAGTAATGTTACTGACTAATATGAAGATGTCCATCTGATTTATGTACAATACAGTTTGTACAGTCATATTTTCTCTCTTTTAGTAGAGATACTATATGAGAGACTTTGCTTTGTTTACCAAATAAAGTGAATCTAATTGGATTTGCTTTGTAAACGTTAAATAAAAGTTAAAAAGATATTATTTTTTGTTTAATACATTACAGTTTTAGTTATGATACTCCCAAAATAATTCCGCAGATTTTTTTTGCAAAATTCTCCGCAGAAAAAGCAAAAATCGTCCACAGATTCCGTCTGGCCCTGGTTGTAACTCTTAGTAACTCATAGAAACCCAGTTACATGTTACCCACTGTGAAGTGAAGCACTTGTTATTTTAACTTGTACTCATCTAAAAACAAGTACTGAGTAGTTGGATACTCATCAAAACATAATAAGAGAACTTTGGTGTACAACTATCAAGTGTTTTGACGCTGTGTGGTAGAGACATCCTTATTGTAATTAAGAGTGAACTGATTAAAACCTGTCAAGAAAATGGGTTGGTTTGGGGGCTTAAATGTAAACGTAACGTTTTCACTGTCGCTTCAGCTGCCTGATCCTTATACAGTGTTTCATAACGAACATAATCGTCTGCTCTGTATGTTTGTAGTGTCGTATAGCATAACAAAAATGAACAACATCAACCGAGAACAATTATGAGGGAATTAGAGTAGATTGACCGAGAGACCGTGATCGTTCTTGATAAGAGCAAAGTGCAATTTGCATGGACGGAAAGGAGTTAAAACGGAGCTCATATGTCTACTGCGCATAGATAGCTTCACTTCATACGTCTCATTCTTCTACACAAACTCAGATCTAGTGGATTCTTCCTTTACGGAGATTTAACATAGGAGTGTGATTTGTCGAGGAATACACCAAAGAGTAAGTGTGTCTGCGACATTAATCATGTGGTGTGTGTGTTTTTTGGGTCCTGCTTCAGAGGGTGGCCTCTGTTAGGTCAGACAGTCTGATAATACCTCCAGTTTGGGGATGGCGTCTGTGGTGGGACAGGTGCATGCCGTAATGTCATTGTGGACGTCAGTGTTCAGGCTGAGCTGGTTCTTCAGTTTTTCCACCTCATAGTCGTGCAGATACTCCTGGATGAGGTAACGCTCGCGCTTTACACGCGCTTTTACGTCTGAAGGCACGTCGGGGATCAACCACGCCACGAAAAACTTCACCACAAACACCACATGCTGGAGGAGAACAAGGGGGTTAGTGCAGCACTTACTGTAACATAGGTAATAACACTCCAACAGTGAACGGCCACAGTCTCATGTAGAGTTCACATCAAATCCAGAGCGCCGTATCACTCTCTCTAGTTTACCCGCGGGATGTTTTTCCACTTCTTTCCTGAGTTCTACTATCTAAACTTGCTTGATTATGGAGAATTCTGTGTGTTTGTGGTAAACATGTTATACATTGCCAATATTTATTATATAAAAACATTGCATGTGCACACACACATACTGTACATGGTTTACAGGGACAATCCACAGGTAGTATTAGTGTATTATACTATAAAAACGCTTATTATATAGCTTCATACAACAGTTCTGTCTGGTTCTCGAATCTGATTGGCTGATAGCCGTGATTTATTTAAGTAATATCAGCACCCGTACAGCCTTTTTACCCTTTGTGTATTACTCCGCCCACATACAGCCAGCAAAAAGCAGACACTACTGGTCTAAAGTTTAAAAGATGCTCGCTCAGCTGTTTAACTGTCAGCTTATGATTTGAATCCAACGCGGAAGAAAGTAGTTCCTCATACAAAAGGGTTTTTGAGACTCTCCATGTTTGATTTTGTTTTTACATACACAATTGTGCCGTCAAACTGTTGTATAAATGCAATATCACACTCGTAGCAGTGCGATATGGCTGTATATCAGCACTGGTGGGGGCACTAAGGCACTCAGCCTGCGGCCTCGCACGCCTCCCACCAGTGCCGATATACAGCCATATCTGCTACGAGTGTGATATTGCTCATTTACCACACTCCTTAACCCAACTCTTTCATCAAACCTGTGGCAAATGTTAAATGTCAAAAGATGATAGGGATTTTTAGTTGGCGCCAATGGCGTAGTGGTTAGTGCGTCGACACATGGCATTTCGGTGTTTACGGCGACACAAGTTTGATTTCCGCCTTTAGATCCTATGCCGATCCTTCCTCTCTCTGCTTTCCTCACTGTACTGTCTATACTCTCGACTGTCCTATTATAAGTGAAAACCCTGAAAAAGTTTTGAATTGCCACCTACAACAAAGTCACACCCATGTCATTACATAACATCATGAAAACCACGTAAACCTGTACGCACTCACACTACACGTTTACATGAGCGTTTTACTAACAATAACGCCCCACACGGGGCTTCAGCGTCAACGCTTGACTGAAGGCGTGTATAAAGTTTGGGCTGACCCGATCGTCATAGCAGCGTCAGCCAATGAAATTCAGTCAGCAATAGGCCACTGTCTAGCTGGTGTATTTGCATACAGCGATCTGATTGGCTGATGCTTCCATCGCGGCTTGAAAAGTTGAGCTAGTCCCAACTTCTGCAGCGAGCAACGCCTCTGAAGCTGCGCCGACGGATCCACAATGCAGTTCGGCAACGCCTGACGTCACCCATTTAACATGAATAGGAAGCGCTGACGCTACATGAAATAGGGCGACACAGTGGCGCAGTGGGTAGCATGTTCACATAACAGCAAGAAGGTTGCCGGTTGGAGCCTCGACTGGGACAACTCTCTCTAAAATTTTTAGACTGAAAGGACCATTTTGAAATTGGTCGATAGTTCTTTAAATCAGATGAATCTATTGTTTTATAAAGTTTGTCGTACTTTTTTTAAAAGGGGTTGCGCATTCTACATTGACTTGGTATGTGATTTAGTCGCGCGAATACTTAATTCCGCCTTTGGTGGCAAGGCTGTGTCTACACTAGTGCATTTTTGTCATTTAGAATAAAACGCTGCTCATGTTTTTATCAGGTTTCAGAAAAACGATTTCGGTGCACACTATTCACCTTATACTCAGCGTATGAGCGGCACAGCCATTTGAATCTTTTTGGCCGGAGACTTCCGGATTATTATTGTTTAGAGCAGGGGTCTTAAACTCAATTTACCTGGGGGCCGCAGGAGGCAAAGTCTGGGTGAGGCTGGGCCGCATAAGGGATTTCACAAAAAAAAGTCCTCAAATGTCATTATTAACAGTTTTAATTATTTCTTCTGAACATGAAGTGTCCTGAACATTAATAGAACATTGAGTGAAGATTATGAACAGTTCTTCTGAACATGGCATCTTTTGCCTACTTCTTGCTGCCAGAGACTTGACAGCGCTTCTTCTCACAAATCTGAACCACATTTGGCTTTAGAGCGGAAGCAGTTGAGACCCTCAGTATGGCTTGAAGATGATCATCATTAAGTCTAGACCTGTACTTTGACTTATTGAAGTCCTAGGGAAAAAAGTGGGGGAACTCACTCAAAACTTCCATTCCCTCACCTAAAAAAAAGGCGTATATATGTATAAATAAAACACCCCCACCCCACTCCAGTCACATCAGTCTGTATCTGCCTATAATATCAATATATATAAGTTGCAGGGCAGGCACGTGCACACATAGGGCTTAACCTGTACAGAGCACATGCCCTTTTTAGTCTTGCATAGAAAGTGCCCTTCCAAAATGATCAAAAGTGCCCCCGCGACGCGACACACCGTCGGTCCCGCCCTTCAGTAGGCGCGCGATAACACCGCTCTTGAGTACGTGCGCAACAACACAGCTGATCAGAACGCGCGCGACAACGCGCATTGAGTGACAAGCGCGCTGTGTACGGATAGAATCAGCGGAGCGGGGAGCGCTCTCTCTCCCCGCTCTGCTGATTCTGTCAGAGAACAGCGGTCGGCGCGGGCCACAAAATATTGCACTGAGGGCCGCAAATGGCCCGCGGGACGCGAGTTTGAGACCCCTGGTTTAGAGGTTAAAAACAGCGCATTCTGCTGCTTGATGTTGCAAGCTAATAGTTTCTTATTAAATTATTCTACTTTTTATGCATAGTCATAAACACACTTGTTTGTAGAGCGAGTAGTTTGATCGTCTGTTTATTATTCCAAGTCATTTCTCCCATAAGTTCTAAAACAATCGCAAACACGAGCGCACTTCAGCATTGTAGAGTAAGATCTATAGACTTTTGACCATTCACGCTCAAACGTTAAGCACACTTTAAAGTGATCTGATACCTCCATGATGATGATGAATGCCAGTTTGGCGGCGAGGATGTGCCAGAAGTCCATGTTGTGGGTGTACTGCTTCTCGTGTCCTGGAGGATATCGATAATCTCGATACCTACAGCATCAGGTCAGCGTTAGCACTCGTTCAGCAGTATTCATCAACACAAACACTTAAGCATTACACAAATAAACCTCACTGAAAATGGAGTATAGACATAGACATCACGCTTGTCAACTGTGTATATACTGTTCACACCATACATAACACTTTAAGGAGGAGCTATTATGCAAAAATCACTTATATAAGGGGCTTAAACACAGTTGTGTGGCAACAGTCTGTGATTATAACCAGCTTATAATAGTCAAAATTAATTAAGTGTGTTGTTTATCATCAGACTTGATGAAAACAGTCTGCAGAAACACTTTGATTGACATTCTCCCTTTGTATGATGTCATCAGAGGGGGAAAGCCCCGCCCACTAGTGACTATATCTCCCTTATAAGCATAGGACGTCAGTCTTGTTTATAAATCTGCCACTATGCTGACACACAGGCATCTGTAGCTCCACCCTCTTTTAAAAGAGCACAATCTCATTTGCATTTAAAGTGACAGTCACCAAAACACCAAAATTGGGATCAAAGCCTTAAAGGGTCAGCTCCAGAGAGTTATAATCATTATATGTGTGGTATTTTGAGCTGAAACTTCACACACACACACTCTAGAGACATCAAATTTATTCTACAACTTGTAAAAAGGGACATAATAGTAATGAAAAGCGCGTCACAAACAATCTTGAATGTAATATTTCCCTGTGAACGTCTCTGCATGTACCTGCAGGTGGTGTAGTTGCCGGCGTTGAACCAGTCTGGGTTTTCGTCATCATCCGGACGGTTTTCGGGAGGAAACTCTGAGATGTTGTAGATGGAGAGGCTGTGGGTGATGTATCCCGACATAGAGGCCGCATTGCCCGTATTATGCACGTACTGGTACACCAGCCGCGGGATCATGTCAGACGTGAAGGACACGATGAAAGCCTGCACGACAGCAAATATGGAGACTTTTGGTGATGCACTTTCATTTCACTTCTGGTCAGGATAGATACATTTCAGGCTATTATGGTACAACTATAGGTATACATGTACATTATATGACGATTCATTCTCTCATTCATTTTTCTTCGGCTCAGTCCCTGATTTATCAGGGGTCGCCACAGCGGAATGAACCGCCAACTATTCCAGCATATGTTTTACACAGCAGATCGCAACCCAGTACTGGGAAATTATATAAAAGATATTAAATATCCTTTACTCCAAAAAAAAAATAAATAAATAAAATAAATAAAATAAATAAACAAATGTATATATACAGTTGAAGTCAGATTTTTTTTTTAAATATTTCCCAAATTATGTTTAACAGAGCAAGGAAATTTTCACAGTATTTCTGAAAATATTTTTTCTTCCGGAGAAAGTCTTATTTGTTTTATTTTGCCTAGAATAAAAGCAGTTTTTAGTTTTTTAAAACCATTTTAAGGTCAATATTATTAGCCCCTTTAAGCTATATATTTTTCGATAGTCTACAAAACAATTATCATCGTTATACAATAACTTGCCTAATTACCCAAACCTGCCTAGTTAACCTAATTAACCTAGTGAAGCCTTTAAATGTCACTAAGCTGTACAGAAGTGTCTTGAAGAATATCTAGTCAAATATTATTTACTGTCATCATGGCAAAGATAAAATAAATCGTTATAAGTTATATAAGTTATTAGAGATGAATTATTAAAACTATTATGATTAAAATGTGTTAAAGAAATCTGCTCTCCGTTAAACAGAAACTGGGGAAAACAATAAACAAGAGGGCTAATAATTCTGACTTCAATCGTGTGTGTGTGTGTGTGTGTGTGTATTACACTGTGGTGCTGCACACATACCCAGGGTCCTAAATGAGATCATTTGAGATTTATTAAAATGATATATTTATATATATTTAAAAAAAATAATATATATATATAGACACACACACACACACACACACAAGAAAAATGATGAAAAAACATATGAATATTGTATACTTTTTCTAACATTGTAAAACAAAAACAAATATGTATGTATTTATATTATAAAACTATGTTCCTTATCTTATTACAAACTATGATTTATTCATTTATTATTATTATAATTAATTGTATGCAGGTGAAAACAGACATTTTTTTATAACTATTAAATAGAATTTAAAGCAGAAATTTTTTTTAAAAGTTCACATTTTTTGTATACAAATAAACTAAATCATTTCACTTTTGAATTATTTAATACATTTTCATTTGCCATGATGACAGTAAATAATATTAGACTAGATATTCTTCAAGACACTTCTATACAGCTTAAAGTGACATTTAAAGGCTTAACTAGGTTAATTAAGGTAACTAGGCAGGTTAGGATAATTAGGCAAGTTATTGTATAACAGTGGTTTGTTCTGGAGACAATCTAAAACTAATATTGCTTAAGGGGACTAATAATATTGACATTAAAATGGCTTTAAAACAATTAATAACTGCTTTTGTTCTAGCTTAAATAAAACAAATAAGACTTTCTCCAGAAGAAACAATATTATCAGACATACTTTGAAAATGTCCTCAATATGTTCAACATCCTTTGGGAAATATTTAAAGAAAGTGACAGGAGGGCGAATAATTTTGACTTCAACTGTGGTTCAGTTTGAATCCTTCCAACTCTGAAGCAATCAAAGCAGTTCCTGCTCAAAACCCTAACATCGGCCCAAAATAGCAGTTGGGTCATTTTCCGAAGTATAGACTTTTTCTTTCAGTTGTGTGGTGGATTCTCACGTTGGTGACGACGGAGAAGACTGCGATCATGTTGAGGATTTCCTCCCAGGCGCCGATGCTGTGCGCTTTAGCAGCGACGGGTCTGCGGAACTGAGTGGTGAACTTCCAGGCGTCCACGCGCACCTCCAGGATATTATTCATCAGAGCCAGGAGCGGAGCCAGAGGAAAAGAGGCCACGAACAGAGTGATGAAGCCAAACTGAATCACTGCCAAAACACACAACATAATGATGACATTCACTTCGCAAAACCTCTATTAATGTTACGGGCAAATTTACTTTTTTGGTTTTACCGACTATCCTAACCATTCATTAATTTGGCTTATTTATCAGTGGTCGCCACAGTGGAATGAACCACCAACTATTCCAACATATGTTTTACGAAGCGGATGCCCTTCCAGCCGCAACCTAATACTGGGAAACACCCATACACTCTTGCGTTCGCACATGCACATGCCCAATTTTGTTTACCCAATTCCCCTATAGCGCATGTGTTTGAGCACCCGGAGGAAACCCACGCCAACACGACGAGAACATCCAAACAGAAATGCCCTCTTACGCAGCCGAGGCTTGAACCAGCTACCTTCTTGCTGTGAGGCTATAGTGCTAACCACTGAGCCACCACACCGCTTTGAGAAACCTAATCTGATGGTTCTGTTGGCTGAAATGTGCTCACAGAGACCCTTTAAAAGAAAGCTCCATGTGTAATGTTTATAATGTATTTAATTATAATGTAATTTATATTTGTATAGTTTTTATGTTTATATTTTGTTTATACTCACCTCCTCCTCGCATCTATATATTTTTTGTTTGTATGTTATATGCTACTGTTTTAGCAAACAAAAACAAACATCTGTCGCCATCTGTCGGTCACACTCAAGTACTGCAGGCACAGGACATCAGGGATTAATTGCATTAAAAGCTTCAAATAATAATAGTAATATAATAATACAGGTTTTATTTTAATATATTTGTAAAAGCTGTTTTGAGACTTGATTTAATGCTTTTATTAGGGTTTGCATGTTCTCCCTGTGTTATCGTGGGTTTCCTCCGGGTGCTCCGGTTTCCTCCACAGTCCAAACACATGCGCTATAGGGGAATTGAGTAAGGTAAATTCACACAGAATTTAACTCCACACAGAAACGCCAACTGACCCAGCTGGGACTTGAATCAGCGACCTTCATGCTGTAAGGCCACAATGCTAACCACTGAGCCATGTTATGTATCCGTAAGGTAATCAAAACTAATATAATTCACTAAAACATGTTCAAAGCTGACCTGACGGGCTCTGATGTGGATGTTTTGCTAGTATTTGCTCCACTCACCCATCTCCAGGTACTCGTAGAAGAGGCCGAGCTGCCCCAAGTTCTGCAGATCGTGATCCTGCTCCCAGCGGCTGTACAGACTCTCCGGATGATTACGAGCACTTCTGCTCACCCACCAGTTACGCAGCCAGCTACACACACACACACACACACACACACACACACACACACACACACACACACACACACACACACACACACACACACACCAGAGTTATTACAGTAAACCAAAGCTAAGACTAACACTGTGTCCTAACAACATGTGACAAAATTCCAGTTTCTCAGTCAAGATTCCAGTCAATGGTTACAGTTTTCCAGCATTCTTCAAAATATCTTAATAAAGAAAGTAAAACTGGTTTGGATCAAGTAAAGGCTGAGTAAATATTGACAGATTTTGAAGTGAATCAGAAAACCAGAGGCAGATAGTTGTGAATGTGTTGTCTGTAGGTTTGTACGTTGACTTACGGGACGAGAGCTTCTTGAATGTTCCCCCACACCTGCTTGCCCACCATCACGATCACTAACTGAGTGGTCAGCTCGATCAGACAGCCGCCAGGCTCACACTAAAAACACAAGTATCATATAATTAATAATAATAATAATAATAATAATAATAATAATAATATTTGATTAACTATAATAGATTAATTATGCAAAAATGTTTGCAATTTAAATGTTAAATTAAAATCTTGGCTGAATTTCCAATCAAAAATGCAGTTAATTCATTAATATTGTGAAGTATTATAATTTAACAGCCTTATAATATTACATTATAATATATTATATTTATTATATTATATTATATTATATTATATTATATTATAGTTATCAGCAGCAACTAATGCACTCTTCTGTGTCATGTAATTCTAATTAAAGTAATATTTTACAATATTTTGTATATTTTTGTGAACATAATAAGACTTATATTAAATAATAAAATAAAATAGAGATGCAAAGTATTAATAATATTAATAATGAATACTGATACTATGTGTTTTTGACTAATTATTTTTTTTATAAAGATAACAAATTACAAAAAAAATAAACTCAAATGAACATCCTAAAGATACATTACTGATGTAATTAATTCATATTAACATTGAAGTTTATGATTTCCCTTTCAATCTCACATTCACTGAGCACAAACCAAAGCTGTGTAAACCGATAAGTTGTGTTTAAACTAAAATATTTCCATTATTGTCACCCAATTTAAAGTTATTTCACACTAACAATATTTCAATATGAATTTGCTGACTTTTAACTTGATAATTGTCCCTGATAATTAACCGATACTGAATATATCTTGTATTGGATGATACCGATAATCGGCCAATAATTCAATGTGTGCTTCTGACTTTTATTATCTTTTTAAATTAAAGAAAACTAATAGCACAAAGAATTGACATAAAAACATTACATTCTCTCCATCACTAAAATGAACATTCTGAAGATACATCATTGATGTTATTAATTTAATACATTTATAGTTTCCCTTTTAATTTCACATTCACTAAGCACAAACAAAATCTGTAAACCGATAAATTGTTTTAAAACTAAAATATTTTTAAATAATTATTGTCACCAAATTCAAAGTTATTTCTCACTAACAACATTTGAATATGAATTTGATGTCTTTTCATTTATTGATTGCCCCTAATAATTGACCGATACAGAAAATTTCCTGTATTGGCTGATACCGATAATTGGCCAATATTTCAATGTGGGCTTTTGACATTTTATAACCTTTTTAATTTAAAGATAACAAATTACACAACAAAAGGGATTTAAAAACTGTTACATTCTCTCCATTCTCTCCGTTTCCCTTTTAATCTCACATTCACTGAGCACAAACAAACACTGTGTAAACCGATAAGTTGTGTTAAAACTAAAATATTTCCATTATTGTCACCCAATTCAAAGTTATTTCACACTAACAACATTTGAATATGAATTTGCTGGCTTTTGATTTGGTTGTTGAGCCTGATAATCGACCGATACTGAATATTTCTTATACCGATAATGGGCCGATAATTAAATGCATCTCTAAAAGAAATCATAATAATAAATGCAAAACAATGCTTTAAAAGGTTATTAAAATACCCATGGGATATCAGGTTTACCTCTTCATTTCTCAGTCCACTCCAAGGCCCAAACATGTAGGCGTAGTTTCCAGGATATCCCACAAATTTACCCTTGAAGAAAGCAACGTAGAAGCAGGAGGAATAATAGTTGACGAACTGGAAGAGGAACATCTTTATCGTCAGCTTGTTCTCGTACTCGACGTGTGTTTTAGGGACCTCTGTTGACCCAAATATAAGTGATAAAAAATCAGCACGCAAACCTACTATGGGTTTACTTTAGTCACTCTACACTTGATTTAATATGGGTTAGAGAAGTTAAGAAACTATTTATTGTTTGCAGAGAAAAACAAAACACTCAGTGTATTAATCTAATTATCTGATATTAAGTTTAATCTAATATTAAGTAAGTGCAAGTGTATAATATAATATTAAGTGACTTTTTTTGTAAATTTCACAAATAGAAAACAGGCAATTAACTATAAATAAACATGGAATTTTCAAATAGAAAAACATGCTCAGAAAATCATGTCATTTACTTACAACAAAACATAAAATTAGGGATTGGAATGACAGTAAAATAACAACAAAAATACTATTTTTTTAATTAAATAAATAGGATTTAGAATCATTCTACATGTAATTTTTTAGTAAACAATTTGTGCAATCATGAAGGTACCAATGTCACATAATTACAAAGAAAGAACATTTAAAAATACCAAGTGTTACAAGTAAAATAACATTTTACTATTTGTAGTTTTAAATAAATTTGTTCAGATTATTCACCTAAAAGGAAAATACATAAAATCCTATATATACAATAAATCTTTTAAAAAATATTATTGAAAATGAACAATTATAATGAAATAAAGGACGATTTTGGAATATTATACTTCATGAAACATTACAATATTTTTTACATTATAATATACTTTTTTTACATTAAATATCATTTTAATATTCATAACATCATATAAAAATGTATAATTTATAAATTTTATTTATTAAAAAGTCAAGACATTACTTAAATTCTAATCAACATAATTTAGATGGAAAGAGAGGCGCTAATGTCAAATACAATGAATAAAATACAATTATAATTAATAAGTTTAAATAACTATTATATTACTGTTCATAAAATAACATTAATTGGAAGTTTTTTATGACCTAAAATTTTTTTATCAGTATCGTTTATTAATTTGTGTGAAAAGGAAGGAGCCGATATAAAAATTCAATAAAATAATAGTTTCTAAATATAATTATTTCTAAATTTTATTTACAATTTGTAAATAAACATTATAATCTTGTTATTTCTTTAGATTTTTATTTTATATCTGTAAAATGCTCCCAAATATATATTCATATATATTATATAAAATAAAATAAAAAATTAAATAAATAAAAATAAAATAAATAAATAAAAAATATACACTACCAGTCAAAAGTTTGGGATTTTTAAATGTTTTAAAATAAGCTTCTCCTGCTCACCAAGATTGCAAATATTTAATCAAAAATAGACTACACATTGTAAAATTGTAAAATATTATTGCACTATATAATAATTGTTCAAAAGTAGCTTATTATTTTATTTAACAATTTATTTTAGTGATTTAAAGATGAATTTTTAGCTTCATTACTCCAGTCTCAGTCACATAATCCTTAAAAAATCCCTCTAATAATGATAATTATTATTAATAATAATATTAATGGTGATAAAAAGCAATAATGACTGGAGTCATAATTTCATTTAAAACTACATACGATAAGTAATAAATTAATATACAACAACAAAAAAAAGTATTTAACAATTTGACAATTTTTTTGCATTTAATAAATGCCGCCTTAACTTTAAAAGTTAAAAAACTAAATAAAAAAACATTATATATATATATATATATATATATATATATATATATATATATATATATATATATATATATATATATATATATATATATATATATATATATATATGTATATTTATTTATTTATTTTTTATTATTATTATTTTTTTCCTCCTGATAAAATAAAAATAAATTTTACACTGGAAGTTTTATTAATGTAATTAAGGTTAAAATGAAGATGCTAATGTAAAATAAACAATGAATAAAAAATAATATTACCATGCTTTTTATAACCTTATATAAAATGTATTTTGCTGTCTTGAATAATTATAATACAGCAGTACTTAAATTTTAGCCATCATTTAATTTAAAACCCCTATTATTGGGCCAAGACTCACCCATATCAGTGATCTTGATGGCGACGCGCTCATACAGGAAGTTCAGCACCATGATGATGACAAAGTTGATGCAGGACGCCGTTACAGACGTAGCGAACTGAGGCGTGATCAGGTTTCCCACTATCTCCAGCTTATTAGTGGGACTGTCCTTCATGATGCTCGCGAATGCAGCGAACACCGCCAGACGATACGCAATCACACCGATAATACTGGCGATAATCAGAGAGATCTGAGGTATCGGGAGAGATGACAACGTCAAACACACCGAAAAAAACAACCAGATTCAGATTAAAACACAATGATTGAGCAGAGTTTACTACAAGTCCATTGTCAAAATGCTACATGCTGGTAAAATCATGCATCTTCAAGCAAACTCTTCTAAACACACATCAGATTTACTGATTTTACTGACTGATGTGTTACTGTGTCCAGAAACTGACCAACATGCCATATCAAGTCTAACACACACATTATGTAATACCTTTTTGATAGATAATATGTGTATATAATAGACTCTGTTCCAAAATTACTCATGTCTACCACCAATGGAGTGAATAGTTTTGCAGTACTTCGTGGGATTGTAATTCTCCCCTGAAATAACTGCACAGTTTAGTGATTTGTGTAGATGCTGTTCGGTATTGGATATACCATGATATATTCATAAATATATAATGATGAATAAAAGTATGATATAAGAGTTGTGTGTAGTCCACTAGGCATGGGAACAGAGCTGATGTTCAGTGGGGTTCAAGAGTCGGAGACCAATGTTGAATATACTGGATATTTTGTAATGACTAAAAGGGTTTATCTTTAAAAAGACACAATTAATATTAATTTGGCCTTAACTTATACACACTTGATACAATAAACGTATTATTTACATATGATGGTGCAGTTAATTACATTTTAATGAACATTTGTAGTTACACTGTTAACTTTACCCCTAACTGTAGCCCAAACTCTTACCTCTAAATTTAGCTTTAACCCATAACTCTAACTTTACCCCTAGGCCTAGCTTTAACCCAAAACTTTGCCATTACCCATAAGCCTAGCTTTAACCCATAACTCTAACTTTACTATTACCCCCAAGCCTAGCTTTAACCCATAACTCAAATTTTACTATTACCCCTAAGCCTAGCTTTAACCCATAACTCAAACTTTACTATTACCCCCAAGCCTAGCTTTAACCCATAACTCAAACTTTACCATTACCCCCAAGCCTAGCTTTAACCCATAACTTTAACTTTACCCCTAAGCCTAGCTTTAACCCATAACTCTAACTTTACCCCTAAGCCTAGCTTTAACCCAAAACTTTGCCATTATCCATAAGCCTAGCTTTAACCCATAACTCTAACTTTACCCTTAAGCCTAGCTTTAACCCATAACTCTAACATTACCCCTAAGCCTAGCTTTAACCCATAGCTCTAACTTTACCCCTAAGCCTAGCTTTAACCCATAACTCTAACTTTACCCATAAGCCTAGCTTTAACCCATAACTCTAACTTTACCCCTAAGCCTAGCTTTAACCCATAACTCTAACTTTACCCCTAAGCCTAGCTTGAACCCATAACTCTAACTTTACCCTTAAGCCTAGCTTTAACCCATAACTCTAACTTTACCCTTAAGCCTAGCTTTAACCCATAACTCTAACTTTACCCATAAGCCTAGCTTTAACCCATAACTCTAACTTTACCCCTAAGCCTAGCTTTAACCCATAACTCTAACTTTACCCTTAAGCCTAGCTTTAACCCATAACTCTAACTTTACCCATAAGCCTAGCTTTAACCCATAACTCTAACTTTACCCTTAAGCCTAGCTTTAACCCATAACTCTAACTTTACCCATAAGCCTAGCTTTAACCCATAACTCTAACTTTACCCCTAAGCCTAGCTTTAACCCATAGCTCTAACTTTACCCCTAAGCCTAGCTTTAACCCATAACTCTAACTTTACCCCTTAGCCTAGCTTTAACCCATAACTCTAACTTTACCCATAAGCCTAGCTTTAACCCATAACTCTAACTTTACCCATAAGCCTAGCTTTAACCCATAACTCTAACTTTACCCCTAAGCCTAGCTTTAACCCATAGCTCTAACTTTACCCCTAAGCCTAGCTTTAACCCATAACTCTAACTTTACCCCTTAGCCTAGCTTTAACCCATAACTCTAACTTTACCCATAAGCCTAGCTTTAACCCATAACTCTAACTTTACCCATAAGCCTAGCTTTAACCCATAACTCTAACTTTACCCATAAGCCTAGCTTTAACCCATAACTCTAACTTTACCCTTAAGCCTAGCTTTAACCCATAACTCTAACTTTACCCCTAAGCCTAGCTTTAACCCATAACTCTAACTTTACCCCTAAGCCTAGCTTTAACCCATAACTCTAACTTTACCCTTAAGCCTAGCTTTAACCCATAACTCTAACTTTACCCATAAGCCTAGCTTTAACCCATAACTCTAACTTTACCCCTAAGCCTAGCTTTAACCCATAACTCTAACTTTACCCATAAGCCTAGCTTTAACCCATAACTCTAACTTTACCCTTAAGCCTAGCTTTAACCCATAACTCTAACTTTACCCATAAGCCTAGCTTTAACCCATAACTCTAACTTTACCCCTAAGCCTAGCTTTAACCCATAGCTCTAACTTTACCCCTAAGCCTAGCTTTAACCCATAACTCTAACTTTACCCCTTAGCCTAGCTTTAACCCATAACTCTAACTTTACCCATAAGCCTAGCTTTAACCCATAACTCTAACTTTACCCTTAAGCCTAGCTTTAACCCATAACTCTAACTTTACCCATAAGCCTAGCTTTAACCCATAACTCTAACTTTACCCCTAAGCCTAGGTTTAACCCATAGCTCTAACTTTACCCCTAAGCCTAGCTTTAACCCATAACTCTAACTTTACCCCTTAGCCTAGCTTTAACCCATAACTCTAACTTTACCCTTAATCCTAGCTTTAACCCATAACTCTAACTTTACTCATATGCTTAAACTAACCATTAACCCATAACCATAACCTTGTATAGGTGATTAGATTAGGTGTTTTTAACTACACAGTAATTAAATTAACCTATTAAGCTTAATGTATTATGTGGTGTTTTTTAGCCTGAATGACAACAAGACTTAAGCTGAACAAAACCTGAAGTAATCCAGCATGATCTGAGAACGACCCATAATAATGTAATAGCATTAATAATTCCACATAGCATTCAATGAATTTGAAAATATGGTTACCGGAGGAAAAGTGCATATCCTTAATAAGTTATATTTATCTTAGAACTTCAGGGATTTGTCCATTTTCTAGACTTTTTGAACCCCGCTGTATTATTTTGTGACTGACATTAGCTTAAAACCATTAAATGTACAGCAATTCATGACATGTGTGCTTTACTTTACACATAAAGAGAATGAAAAGTGTAAGAGTGGTCTACTAGACAGTGTTGATGCTCACCCAGAAGAGGACGGTGGCCCCAGACAGTATTGAACGAGCACACTTGCTTGTTAGAGGTAAATAAGGCTCCATCTCCTACACAGCAAGCAAGCAAAGCAGGGAACATGAGCAACCGCCACCACACACCTGTACTGCTCTCTATCAGGTCCTGTTTCCTCTACAGTGATTGGTTCTACAGACTACAGATCACACTGCGAGCAGATCACTAACGCTAAACACACCGTCACACACACACAGCAAACGGCTCTCTGTGTGTGCTGCTCCTGTCTTACCCATAAGAGAACAGTGGTCCAGCACAGGACAAACCTGCCTGCTTTATCGGCTGGAGTCTGGTCTAGAACCCACTCCTGTTCCTACATAACACCAGCAAAGCCAAACAGATCATCTCCTTTTTCAATTATTGATGATAAACTGATCTTGAGTAGTAACTCTCTTATTGTTTGTGCTGAAAACACCTAAAGTGACCGTCATATTATGCACATTTTGTGTTAAATTGAAAGATTGTTAAACCACAGTAATACTGTTCGATATTTTTATTTACATTTTTTCAGCATTTTAGGAAAACAGTATTGCCAGGAGAAAAAAAATATCCAAAGATGCTATCTTAAATCGTAAAGAAATCTGTGTTTTTAAAACTAATGAAGAGAGCAGCCTGACATGTTTACTGCTCCAAAATATTTTAAATATTTATCAAAATAAAATATATTGTGTTTAAAGGAAGAAAAAGGTTTTGTTTTTTTCAGGGGGTCTGCGGGGTCTTAAAATGTCTTACATTTCAAAAACAAAATTTTAAGCCGCCTTTCCACTGCACACCACATTTGGACAGGACTGTCGGAATACGCCCCCTTGTGGCAGCCGCACAGTATTTTCAGTGTTATCGTGCACCACGGGTTAGAAACTGATTCTCACGGTTTCAGAAATAAAGGAGGGCAAAAGCAAGAGCCTTTATTCCCTCTGCGTTTACATAGTTTAATGAATGAATGAATACTAAACTCATAGACCACTAAAATATTGGAGGAAATGTGGAGACAACATAAAAAAATATATTTTTTACTTACTTACTTACTTAATTACTTACATTTATGAACAGAAGTTTTTTTAATATAGATTTTTTATATTTCAAAAAATAACCAAATAAACTCCTATTTCTCATCTCGTGCGCACCGATCTGCTTGTACAACACTGGAATACATCACATCCGGTCGGCAGGTCGCATACAGTCTAGTCGCAGGAGTTCAAATATTTCAACGGATCTGCAGCTCAATTCGGATCTGAATTTTCTGCATACGGAGATGATCGGAACTTAACCCAGCTCCCGGACTGCTCTCCATTGGAAATGAATGACTTCCGGTCTGCCTCTTGTCGTGTGCAGTGGAAAGGAGGCTTTAAATATTCACAGAAATATGCTCTTGTGGGTCTTGGATACTTTTAAACAGGTCATAATTTTCAGACATTGTCCAAGTAAAGCTATTGCCAATTAGCACAACCAACAAATCCATCTAAAAACATTAACATTTATTAACTATTTAGCATTCATTCATTTTCTTGTCGGCTTAGTCCCTTTATTAATCCGGGGTCGCCACAGCGGAATGAACCGCCAACTTATCCAGCACATTTTTACGCACTTGATGCCCTTTCAGCTGCAATCTATCTCTGGGAAACATCCACACACATATTCACACACACACTACGGACAATTTAGCCTACCCAATTCACCTGTACCGCATGTCTTTGGACTGTGGGGGAAACCGGAGATACCCACGCGAACGCAGGGAGAACATGCAAACTCCACACAGAAACGCCAACTGAGCCGAGATTCGAACCAGCAACCCAGCGACCTTGCTGTGAGGCGACAGCATCACCTACTGCGCCACTGCCTCGCCAACTATTTAGCATTATGGTTTAATAGTCTTCCTTCCTTATCTTTACAATAACATATGTTTAAAAGTTCTCTGTGTTTTCATGCATACATTTATGTTGCGTTTAAAGGTTGCTTATTATAGTTTTTAAAACTTTGAGACATTCTGACTGTCTTTAATTTAATATTGTTTATGCTACATTGCATGTGTGAGAAATATTCTGTTTCCGTTTTTATTTTCAGAAGACTTTTAGATTAGTATTTCATTGTGAGTGTCGATTAAAGAAATTACTTCAAAAGATGACTGTTTTTTTATATAGCATTTTGAAAACAATCTAGAAGTCAAAGGTGTAGCTACCCTTAAAATGAATATTAACCTTGATTTACACCTCAGAACTCTGAAAATGTTTCATTGAACCTCAGGAAACAAAATTACACTTAATTTCTGTCGTATTTTGTGCATAAATTGTGTTTATTATAGCTTTTAAAACTTGTCTTATTTTTAAGAGAGGTTGTGCTAATAAAAAGACATGTATATAACTAGAGTTTGCTTGTTTTGACACTTTATTTAAAATATATAGCTAAGAAACAACTGAATAGTTGGATATTCATTCCATTGTGGTGACCTCTTAAATAGAGACTAAGCCGAAGGAAAATGAATGAAACGATCAGTGTGAACGGCCCCTAGGGTTCTACTTTTGTTAGCATGATCCCTTCTCACATGTAAATATAGGTATGTGATGTAAAACTTTCAAGCTTGTCTAATTTAGACTACATCAAGAGGTGTAGAAAATATAAAAATACTATAGCTATGTAGAAAAAAACGTTATTTTCCCATTAAACAGTATTTAAAGTGAATAACTGGTCTAGAATGAGCTACCTCAACCTAACCATTCCTGTTTCAACTAGCCTAGTAATATTTCTACATATAAACAACATTTTAAAATGTGAAATATTGAAGCAAACCTGTAATAAAAGTTGCATTAATTAAATTCAGGACAAGGGGTATAGTTCAAGAAAATCCTACAAAACACATTATCAGGCAAACAATGAATTCTATGCAGAATTGTAAACATGTCTGTAGCGTAATGCATGCCATATGAATCATACATGTCTATGTTTAACACTGACTATTCATCCTTTATACAAGGGTTCCTCTTTCATGGTCCTGGAGGGATCATTTCCTTCAGAGTTTAGTTCCTGAATCAACTCAAATTCACATTCTTCCATATTACACAGCGGGCAAAAAAACTAAACAAAACTTGTGTGTACAAATTCATAGCATTTCCAGTGAGATATTGAAGTGTAATGGTGGCTTGTAGCACGAATGCTACTAAAATAATAAAAAGTACAATACAATCAAAACAATAAATCATACAATATCATACAATAAAAACAAGGCAAACAAATAAAAAAGCAAACCCAGGCTTATTGGAAATATGTTACCCTGCCTGCCTGTCCTGTAAAAACACGAGTTTTCTGTGCAGTACGCAAAGTGTACACTAGGGGGCAGTAAAACACCTACAACTTCTTTCACAAGAAGATTATTAGAGATTAAACAATTAAGAGATTAACCACTAAATAACACTCATTCCTGCTCAAAACAAAGGATGTGCAACAGTAAATAAAATATCTGTCAGATGTGCAAATGTAAGACATTTTCGGACATCATTTGCTTGTCCACAGATCTCAAGGCTGTGTAAAAACTAGGTAAAAAGCCATGATCGCTCCAGCTAGGCATTGGATGATAACCAGTTTTAAGGTTTACCACAGTTTGGAAAACTCAAGGTTTTAAAACCGCTAAAATTCTCTGTTAAACTGTTCTTTAAGTTTATGTAAGGTTTTTTTTATTGTATTTTTAACTAATGAAGAAAGCAGAAGTCAATGATTTATTTGAGCTATTTAGTCTTACATGTTTACTGTTCCAAAACATTATAAACATTTCCTAAAATAAATTCTACTGCGTTCAATTGGGGAAAAAATGTTTTTTGTTTTCCTCAGACATTTTAAAATAACTTATTTTAGAGCAGTAATCGCAATACCGTGATTCTGTAAAACCGTGGTATTTTTTTCAAGGCTATCATACCGTCAGAAAAACATACATCAACCCATGCCTAGCTCCAGCAAATACAGTTTTAGCTCATATTTGTCTTGGTTACCACTTCAGGTTAAACTTAGGGTAAGGTTTAGTGTGAGTAATGCAATTGAAAACAGCGCCCTCTTGTGGACATCATCTGCGTTTGGCGTATTCAGGTCAGGTATTCAGGTTTGAATGTCTCCTAAATTCACACATGCGGTGAACATTTTGCAGTGAAAACTGGTTGCAAATATATTTTGAGGTTGCATAGATACCCTTTCTGGCGCATATGCGACCAAAACAGTTGCAATTTTAAGCCCTGATAGTAGTATTTAGCTAAGAGTGACTTAATTAGGCAAGTTAAGGTAATCAGACAATCGAAAAAAATATATTGCTTAAAGGAGCTAGTAATATTGATATTAGGTTTATTTATTTTTTTAATTAATAAATTAAATTCAATAATTAAACAGTTTTTACTCCAGTCGAAATAAAACAAATTAGATTTTCTCTAGAGGAATAAATATTATCAGATATACTGTGAAAATTTCCTCAATCTGTTTAACATAATTTGGGAAATATTTAAAGAAAGAAAATCACAAGAGGGCGAATATTTTAACTTCAACTGTATTTCCAAGACCAGAAAAGACGAAGCCTGCTCTGTATGATCAAATTGAGCATTGTTATCAGCAAGTTATTTTTGATAAAACTTCACAAAATGAATGTGTTTACCTGTGTGACGCGGTTGAGTCGCCGATTGGTGCACTTGGACTCGTATTCGGGTCTGAGCTGGAGCTGCTGTTGCTCTTCCTCAAAGTCCACCAGATCCCACTCGTACTCCAGCCGGGCCTGACGCCGCTTCCAGAACTCCAGGAATAAAGTGACTGTCAGCAGAGGGACAAAACTAGAGCTCTTGAAGGCACATTTACAACAACATTCAACCGCACTGTAGTTTTACAGTGAAACAATGGTCTCAAACTCAATTCCCGGATGGCCGCAGCTCTGCATAGTTTAGCTCCAGCCAGCTCCAACTCACACCTGCTTAATAGTGTCTAGTAGACTTGAACACCTTGATTAGTTGCATCAGCTGTGTTTGATTATTATTGGAGCAAAACTGTGCAGAGCTGCGGCTCTTCAGGAATCCAGTTTGAGACCTATGCTTTAAATGCTTGAGCTCTTTAAAGCAGGGCATTGCTTTAAAAAATTGCTTTGAAAGATCGAAAACCAACACAAAGGCTTATTTACTCACCCCATATTCCCATGAATATAGCAAAGAACACCGTCGCTGCATTGTCAAATAAATAAGATTGCTAAAAATCAAGTAGAAACAGACGTGACATTAGAAGTGGGTGGAGACGGTTTCAGTTTGCGTTCATTAATCTGACAATACTCACCCATGAAGAGCTGCAGGTAGTGCTGAGCTTCCAGTAGCCGCATTTCTTATCACAGAGCGGACACATGACAATCTGCCCACCGATGGTCTCGTTGCAGATCTCTCGACTGCGGAAGACGACAATCACTTTTGTTTATTCCCTGTGTGCGTCTTATGCCTTCATGATGCAAGACTTTTTGTGCTTCTGAAATGGGCATTTCAGGTCGGCTGCATTCTCAAAACTTTGCTAAAGTTATATATACTCATTGGCCACTTTATTAGGTACACCTGTTCAACTGCTTGTTAACGCAAATTTCTAATCAGCCAATCACATGACAGCAGATTAAGGTAATTAGGCATTTAAACATGGTCAAGACGATCTGCTGCAGCTCAAAGCGAGAATCAGAATCGGGAAGAAAGGAGATTTACGGGCTGCTCTGAGTGTTTCAGAAACTGCTGATATACTGGGATTTTCACGCACAACCATCTCTAGGGTTTACAGAGAATGGTCTGACAAAGAGGAAATATCCAGTGAGCGGCAGTTCTGTGGATGCAAATGCCTTGTTGATGCTGGAGGTCAGAGGAGAATGGCCAGACTGGTTCCAGCTGATAGAAAGGCGACAGTAACTCAAATAAGCACTCGTTACAACCGAGGTCTGCAGAAGAGCATCTCTGAACACACAACACGTCCAACCTTGAGGCGGATGGGCTACAGCAGCAGAAGACCACACCGGGTGCCGCTCCTGTCAGCTAAGAACAGGAAACTGAGGCTACAATTCACACAGGCTCACCAAAACTGGACAATAGAAGATTGGAGAAACAATGCCTGCTCTGATGAGTCTCCATTTCTGCTGCCACATTTGGATGGTCAGAATTTGGCATCAGCAACATGAAACCCAGCCTTGTATCAGCGGTTCAGGCTGGTGGTGGTGGTGTAATGGTGTGGGGGAGATTTTCTTTGGGTCCATTAGTAGCAATTGAGCATCAACACCACAGCCTACCTGAGTATTGTTGCTGACCATGTCCATCCCTTTATGAGCAAAGTGTACTCATCTTCTAATGGCTACTTCCAGCAGGATAACACACCATGTCATGAAGCGTGAATCATCTCAGACTGGTTTCTTGAACATGACAATGAGTTCACTGTACTCTAATGGCCTCCACAGTCACCAGAGCTCAATCCAATAGAGCACATTTGGGATGTGCCCAACATATCTACTGCAACTGCGTGATGCTATCATGGAGCAAAATCTCGGAGGAATATTTCCAGTAGCTTGTTGAATCTCTGCCAAGAAGGATTAAGGCAGTTCTGAAGGCAAAAGAGGGTCCAACCCGGTACTAGTAAATGTGTGTACCTAATAAAGTGGCCAGTGAGTGTATACAATTTTTTTTAGAATTATTTTTCTCTTTCAGCGTCATTTCTAGCTTTAAGCCTTGTTTTTACTTAAGAACTATAAACTAAAATAAAACTGGTTTTAAACAACTTCTATTTCCTCTGAAAATCAATATATTAGGTAGCCTTAAGAATGTTGTTTCGAAAAAAAGTCTGTAAGTATTATTTACAATTACGTCTTAATTTTAATAAGATAGTAAATATATATACTAAAATATGTTATAAATTGTTATCAAAAGTATATTATTTATTCATGAATTATGAACAGCCTCCACATCAAAGCTCCTGAAAGTAATGAAGGTCAAGGTGCTCCAGGATTGGCCCGCCCAGTCATCAGACATGAACATTATTGAGCAGATGAAGGAGGAGGCGTTGAAGATGAATCTAAAGGATCTTGATGAGCTCTGGGAGTCCTGCAAGAAGGCTTTCTTTGCCATTCCAGATGACTTTATTAGGAAGTGATTTGAGCAGAGATGTATGGATGTGGTCCTCCAAGCTCATGATGGAGTCAGACACAATATTCATTCTGTCTCCACTGCAGCAGGACTTTATATTCTATACTGGACATTATTCCTGTTCAGTGATGAGACTTTAGCCTAAGCAGAGTCAAACCTTACTGTCCTAATGAAATCATTCAACATCAAGGCATGATCATATTTTATTGTGATCAAATAAGCAAAATCTAGAGGAGAATATGTTCTGCTCATCTTTTTTCCAGAACCAAAAAATAATGACCATCAAACATTTTACAAAAGTGTAATATTGCAATAACAGTTTATATATCTTGTCATATGTAGGTTTTTGAAGACAAATCAAAACTCTTTTTAAAGTCAGTACCGCTCCACGACACTGATAAACTGTCCTTAATGTTTAGCTTTTATACTTTTGTACCATTTATCATCCTCACCTCCAGATGTTTTCGTCAAAGGTGGCCACTCCATAGATGAAGCAGAGTAAACCCACAACCGCAGCATAGGACAGCATCTCCGTGTAAAAACCCAGCCAAGCAAAGTAGATGCCGATCTTCTCTCCATAGTACTTCCTGCGAGACAGGAGCCACAAGATTCAGCTTATAATGCCTCGTCATTTATTAAGTAAGAATAATAATTTTTAACGACCACAGAGTCGAGTCAGAACTTCAGTTTAACATCTCATCTGAAAGACGGCGCTCACTGAGCAGTATAGAGTCCCGGTCATATACTGGGGCATTAGAACTTACTCAGACCGCAGGTTGAGCGCCCCCTGCTGGCCTAACTAACACCAGTTCCAACAGCAACCTGACTTTTCCATGTGGTCTCCCAGGTACTGAAAGGACGCAGCCCTGCTTAGCTTCAGTAGTCGACCATATGAGAGCTGCAGAGAGCTAGCTGCCGGCAAGTGTACAGGGACACTGGAGCGTTTTTAAAGTCGCGTCGATCAGCTGGTTTGTATAGAAGCTGACATACAAAAGATCCGCTGATGAATCACGGCTTTAAAAAGCTCCAGTGTCCCTGTATCTGTGGTTACACTCAGTAAACAGCGGTGAGTTTGGTGAACTGATGACCTTCACGGCCAATCACAGTCATTTCTGTTGAGCATGTGAACACAATGGCAATCAGCGCTGTTTAAGAACATGCTGAGCAGCGCTCAAATGTTAGCGGGTAATGGATGTTTTTAACACTTCAGTATCAACTGGGTACAAAATTCCAGTATTGTGACAACCCAATGCCTCACACAGGTGAGTAGGTTTGACAAACCACTTGTAGAAACACTGCTCTCTCTGAAAACACACTCCCCAAACCCCAAGGACTGAATTCTCAGAGCAGAAACAGTTGTATTGTAATAATCAGCACTTGTCTCCTCAATTGTAAGTCAGTTTAGACAAAAGCGCCCGTTGAATGTAAATGTAAAAAGAGTAAAAATCAGATTAAAACACAGGAATTCTCACCGAATGAGGTTGAGCGGCTGCTCCTTGTAGAAGCTGCTGAAGCGAGCCCAGTTTTTATACAGAGAATAGCGTTCGCTCTCACAGTTATCATCACGAGACCTGGTCCAATATCGACACTGCAAAAACACACATTAACAGTAATGTACATTATTTCTATGAGGTTTAATGCCCTTTGTTGTCTGATGTGAGAGACCTACGTCATGCAGAGGGAAGGCGGACGTGTAGGTCCCGTTGTTCAGCAACCTCTTAATACCCTTCTTATCTTTGTCTTCTGTGCTGTACGGGATTCGGGAAAGGAGGTAATAAACCTAAACGGAGAAGAAAATAAACCAAGAATTCAGTTTGTTTGGGATATCTGTGTCTAGTTTGAGCTCAATTTAAAGTTTGAGCATACTGTAATTAAGTTTATTGACAGCTAAAGTCAAAATTACTCACACTCTTGTGAATTTTGTTTATTTTTCAAATGTTTCCCAAATGATGTTTAACAGAGCAGGGAATTTTTCACAGTATTTCCTAATATTTTTTTTCTTCTGGAGAAAGTCTTATTTGTTTTATTTCGGCTAGAATCAAAGCAGTTGTTTTTTTAAACCATTTTAAGATCAATATTATTAGCCTCCTTAAGCAAGATTGTGTTTAGATTGTCTACAGAACAAACTATTAGGTTTAGAAAATTGGTGAAAAAAATCTTTCCATTAAACAGAAATTAGGGAAAAAATATAAAGGGCTAATACAGTGCATCCCGAAAGTCTTCATAGCGCTTCACTTTTTTCAAATTTTTTTGTTCCAGACTTTTTCCAAAATGGATTAATTTAATTTATTTCCTCAACATTCTACACACAATCCCCTTTGAAATTGTTACAAATTTATTAAAAATAAAAACCATGTAAATCACATGTACGTCAGTATTCACAGCCTTTGGCTGAAACTCTACACTGAGCTCAGGTTCATTCTGTTTCTACTGATCATTCTTGAGATGTTTCAGAAGCTTCATTGAGTTCACCTGTGGTCAATTCACCTAATTTGACATGATTTGAAAAGGCGTACAGCTGTCTATATAAGGGCCCAGGGTTGACAGTGCATGTCAAAGCACAAACCAAGCATGAAGACAAAGGAATTGTCTGTAGACCGCCGAGACAGGGTTGTCTGGAGGCACAAGGCTGGGGAAACTTACAGAAACATTTCTGCTGCACTGAAAGTTCCAATGAGCACAGCAGCCTCCATCATCCGTAAGTGGAAGATAATTGAACCACCAGGACTGTTCCTAGAGCTGGCCGGCCATCTAAGCTGAGTGATCGGGGGAGTAGGGCCTTAGTGACCATTGGGTTATTGATCACCTCCCTGACTCTGTCTGAGCTCCAGCAATCTTCTGTGGAGAGAGGAGAACCTTACAGAAGGACAACCATCTGTGCAGCAATCCTCCAATCAGGCCTGTATGGTAGAGTGGCCAGACGGAAGACACTCCCCGCCTGGAGTTTGCCAAAAGACATCAGAAGGACTCTCAGCCCATCAGAAACTAAACTCTCAGCTCTGATGAGATTCAAACTGAACTCTTTTAGTGAATGCCAGGCGTTACGTTTGGAAAAAAGCAGGCAGCGCTCATCACCAGGCTAACAGCATCCCTACAGTGAAGCACGGTGGTGGCAGCGTCATGCTGTGGGGATGTTTTTCAGCAGCAGGAACTGGAAGACTAGTCAGTATAGAGGGAAAGATGAATGCAGAAAACCTGCTTCTTGTGCTCTTGACCTCAGACTGGGGTGACGGTTCGTCTTCTAGCAGAACAATGATCCGAGGCACACCGCCAAAATATCAATGGAGTGGCTTCACAACAACTTGGTGAATGTCCTTGAGTGGCCAAACCAGAGCCCAGACCAAATCCTATTGAACATTTCTGGAGAGACCTGAAAATGGCTGTAGACTGTCGCTTCCCACCTGATAGAGCTTGAGAGGTACAGCAAAGAGGAATGGAAAATTCCCAAAGACAGGTCAAGCTTGTGGCATCATATTCAGAAAGAATTGAGGCTGTAATCGCTGCCAAAGGTGCATCAACAAAGTATTGAGCAAAGGCTGTGAATTCTGATGTACATGTGATTTTACAGCTTTTTTGTTTTTAATAAATTTGCAACAATTTCAAAAACTCTTCACATTGTCATTATGGGGGATTGTGTGTAGAATGTTGAGGAAATCAATCAATTTTATCCATTTTGGAATAAGGCTGGAACATATAAACATGTGGAAAAAGTGAAGCGCCATCAATACTCTCCAGATGCACTGTAATTCTAACTTTAACTGTATGTATGAAAGTCTTAAAATAACCGTTTCTTACAATCCTGTTGCGCGTGGACGCAGGAAAGAGGGTTTCTTTATCTTCAATAAGGAAGAAGTCGATCTTGCTCTTGTCGAACGTGGAGGTGAAGAAGTCGGGCTCTGGATTCATCACATGGTCGGGCAGGCGGAAGGGCGTGAAGAGCCAGCCCATCGGTATCTCTTTATTTTCAGGAATATCGTTGGCTTTGAAAGGCACTTTGATTTTCAGGACGTCGGCATATGTCGCCAGCACCTCCCATGGAACGTGGATCTTCAAGAAGTACGTCTTTCCATCCTCAGACTCCTGAAGAGACATGTAAGGAGAAGCATGCTAACAACATGCAAATGCATGACAGAATCATTTACTAGTGTTAGCCATGATATCAGAGTTGACATCTCACCATTAAATAAATTCTTGAATACAGAGCATATTCTTTTTCAGCGGTAGCACATTTTGGATGCAGTAAACTGTAAATATTCATCTACAGCTTATGAATTAATGTATGTATTTCAGCAGGAACCAATGAAAGGGATTTTTCTGGCATACAGTATGGGATTTCACACATTTCACTCACAGATTTGTCCTCGGTCTCCACCTCCAGTCCGGCTTTCTGTAAGTTAGCCTCAAACACCTTCCTTCGGTCCTGCAAGAAAGATTAATAACAAGTCTAAAAGTCACTGATTTGTGCTTTACAAAAGCGATTTGTTGATAAGATTGAGCTCCTGCCCAGCCCTGGTAAAGCACATACTCTGTGCATAGCAAGAATGTGGAAGTACACACACCTGACACACAAACACTCCGGTGTGAGACTTCACAGCGTTTTCATAACACACAGGGTTCTCAGGGGTGACTGTGAAGATCTAGTGGCCAGTGCTGAAAGTGTTTATGATTATTTAAAAGCCCTGATATAGTTTAGAAACTTATGTAAAACATCATTTTTAAACTCCTTTACGTCCGATTCACACGGGGCGTCAGCGTCAATGCTTTCCATTCACTTCGAATGGGTAACGTCAAGCGTTGCTGAACTGAATTGTGGATCCGTTGGCAGTGCTTCAGCAGCGTTGCTCGCTGCAGAAGTTGGGCATTTCTTAACTTATCAAGCGTCAATGGAAGTGTCAGCCATTCAGACAGCTTTATGCAAATACCAACCCAGGCTCATTCTGAAATTGTACCCCTATATACATTTCTGGAGAGCACCAAAGACGTCCCAGGAGCTACGCTTTTTTGCATTTTTGTTTCCGCTGTGTACGCTTTTACAAATCTCAAATTTCTCTTGAGAGTGCCATTCGCGCATGCCCTTGCCTGACGTTTACCATGCTTTCAGATTTTACCACATTCTCACCCTGTTATTTACTTGTTTATTTTATTTTTTGGTTTTTGAATTTGTCTTACCTGCTTACTAGAACAGTTCTTCGCCACACTCGAACCTCGTCGGGGTGGGTAGTCAGCTCTTCTCTGCGTCTCAAGTTCGCCAACATATGCGGCGAGCCACTGGACAAACTGACGACAGCAGGAAAGCCGTCCATACAGAGTTAAGCTGTCAGCTGCTAGCGCGAAAAGGTCATACCGCCCTGTAGCGTTCATTTTAAAGACAAAATGCAGCCATGCATTTTTCTAGCTACATAATTTGCAATCTCCAGAAATGTATATCGGGCTACGTTTTCAGAACGAGCATATGTTGGCAAATACCCCGGCTCAGACAGTAGCTAGTTGCGGTCTAATTCCATTGGTTGACACTGCTACAATGAATGCGTGAACCCCAACTTCAGACACGCCCTCCGTCAATCATTGACACTGAAGCCCTGTATGAATCAGACGTTAAGAGTCTTATTGGTCAGTTGTGATATATTTGGTGGGCATGGCTTAAAGGCTCCACCTTCATTGATGTGGAAATCTATTTTTTCTTTTCTCTTTTATATTTGTATATGTGGCGAGAGAGGCGGGGCCGAGAGCCATGACGGTGTACGAGGCGGGTGGCGTGAGTAGGATAATCAGACACCTGGATGCATCACCTGCCTCGAGTCTCACGGAGAAGCCCTGGAAGCTAAAAGGAGGAGAACCGCCAGTGCTAGATGAGACAGGACTGAGGACTTTTATTTAAAGGTTTGTCTGTTCTCCGCCTCCTTCCCAATAGCTAGGCGGCCATCTAACTTCATTACAACATATAGACCACATTTGTCACTTTATTTACCGACTTTTCAGACCCAGTTAGTGACAAATTTTCCAAAAAGCGACAAGCAGCATATCTAGCGACTTTTTTTACTCTTCTCAACATGCTGTCGGTGATGCTGTTGAAAATAGTTGGCAATACTGCATTGAAACGACTTTCTATGTGAGTCATTGTAGAGTGGCACTTCACTTTACATGTTGATTATTTGTTTAGGTAAATTTGGTATTTTCCTAAAAACTGCCTCTCGGCTGACAGAATAAAGCATAATAACATCATATGATTACACAGCGGAGGTGACAAACCTGTTTCTTTTCTCCATCCTTGTCGTCGATGTAAGACAGGACGAAATCTATCCTCCGTACACCATCCCTGAAGTACACAGAGTCCTTACTCTGCTGCTGTTTATCCACCTGCACACACACAAATACATCGGTTTTAACAACAGCAAGCTTTAAAACAAGGTACAGAAGCCTGACGTTGTTTTTTGTACTATTGGATCACATATTAAAACTGATCCTTATCTATCAATTAAATTAGCCTTTAAATATAACCAATGTATGATCTTGCTAATATTTAATGAAGGTTTCCAGTATTAGGTGCATTATTTAACATGATAGTTGTACAGCAGCCTCAACTCTTCAAGCAAATTCAAGACAGTGAAATTCCCAATAAAAACACGAGCATCCTCAAGACACAAAGGCTTCACAATTGCACCGAATATTTCAAAACAAGCTGCATGCTAAAGAAAATCCAGACTCGAGTTTGGGTCACATTTAAAATTATGTGAGGAAGAAACCCAGTCACTTAATGCAGAATTTCGTGGTCAGAGTTTAAGCGTGTCAACAAACAGAAAGATGCAACCCAGGCTCATTATTGATACGTAACCCCTGTATACATTTCTGGAGATTGCGAAATACATCCCAGGAGCTACTTTTTTTTTTTTTTGGAGTTTTTGTTTTCGTAAATCCATCAGAGGCAGCTCTGTACGCTTTTTCAGATCTCAGTTTTTTTCACACAAGTGCCTGCTGTTCTCATGTAAATCCACCAGAGGCCGCTGCTGACTGACTGACCGATAATCCCAACCACCCCCTTTCCTAAACCTAACCAACAGTGTTTTCAAAAGCAATCCGGAAAAGTGTATTTTTACCACGTTTTCAGATCTTACCACATTTAGTGAAGTTTTTAAACTAATTTCGAGAGGAGCACGTGATATAATTGACTGCAGCTGGCCGCCTCTCTACACTCATTAGTTAGCCAATCAGATCTATCCTAACTCACTATAAGTAGCCTAGCTAGATATTACTCCCTTATCTTCGTTTTCCTAAGAAACCCCCCATCCACCCCCTTTCTCCTCTTTTTCTCCTTTACAAAAAAGGGGAGCTCTCGAGAACCACCTGATCTCGTACTCCCCTCACATGCTCTACGGACCTGGCGGGAGCCCTGGGCTCAACTATCTCCGAGCTCAGTGTTGCTGCTTACAGTTGTCAAGCAATATCTAAGTGTAAACTCTTGAATTTTATTTTTTGCCTAGCACATATTTCTTTACAATTTAAAGCATCTTTTGAGATCTTTTCTGCTGGAGATACTGTTGTCCTAAAAACAAAAATAAAAAATAAAAAATTGTATTAATAAAAAAGTTAGTAAAAAATCGTACATGTCTTAGGAACGATACAACATACAATTTTCAAACCGCGGAATACCTTGAATACGGTTATCGTCCCATGCCTAGTTTAGACTTCATGTCACTAATGAGAAGATGGCGGATGTCTACAGTATAGTGACTGAAATCACCAAATGACCTTAAACAATCACTAAATTCACTACAGAATGTTACGTTTTCACACACACACATGCACAAATTGACAAATCAACCTTTCACAGCGTAATACTCACTACTCTCGAGTACTCTTAAAAGGGATACTTTTACTCATACTATGGGTAATATTCACATTCAACTGATACGTTTACTCTACTTGCACTAAATTTTTGTGTAAGTAATGGTACTTTTACCTCAGCACTCTTTGTGAAGTTTATTTATAAACTAATTTTGAGAAGATCACATCAGCTCGTGATTGATTATCCAATCAGATGATTCCTAACTCGCTATGAATAGTGTTTTCTTATCTTAATATCTTAAAGAATCCCTCCCTACCCCCTCTCCTTTCCAGATGGGCGTCATGTGATTAGCAATGTTGCCTCACAGCAAGAATGTCTCTGGTTAAAGTTCCTTCTAACCAGTTAACATTTCTGTGCAGAGTTTGCATGTTCTCCGCGTGCTCCTGTGGGTTTTCCCCGGTTTCCTTCCACAGTCCAAAAACACGCATTGAACTTACCAAATTGATATCAGAGCCAAGATCTTAGTGAGTACACCTCTTCTTAGCCATCCTATATCTCTGTCATTAGCCAGAAAAAAAGCCGGGGGAGTTCATCGAGATCTACCTGAGCTCAAACTCCCCTGCAAACAGGAGGGAGCCCCAGGCTCGAGGATCTCATAAGCTCAGGGCTCTCTTCCGGGACAGCATGCCAAACAAGCATTATAATCATCAGCTACTAAGTGTGAACTCTTGAAACACCACTGATTTTGTCAGCGTTATACATGATTTAACGAAAAAAAAAATATTTATTCAGAATTTCTCCATTTTTTGTTCTGTTTTTGACAACTGAGTACATTCCTTGAAATAAAACCATAATCACATTATATTTCAAATTTAATTCAAGCAACTATGTTTGTTTTTTCAGTACTTCCCATGCCTTGAATCCATCTGTCTGCAATTCAAGTACATTTCTTGTATATAGCACTTTCAAAGCATTGCTCTATTAAGAACCAGAATGGTTCAGCTACTGTTTTAAGCTCCTTTTTACTTCAGAGTGTACTTTTTAAAAGCCCCGTGTTTATGTTAGATGGCAGCACTGACCACACCAATCCTGGATTGGACAAAATCCAACCCGAGACTGGAACAACTGCAGGCTGTGCTCTGGGCCAGGAAAACAGAGCTGCTCCGGGCCTGTCATCCTGCAGCTGCTCTCCAACAGAACTAAAAATAACTTACATGCACAAACAAATGCAGCCACAAAGTCAGCCGAGGGCGTAAAACACCTCTACATTCTCTCACGGCCACTTTCAGGGATGTGACCAAAACCCAGCAACATTTCCCTGAGGTTAACACTGCCGATTTCCCTACGCCGTTCACTAACAAAACACAGCCTCCATCAATCTGCAGCACTAACTCAACATCCATTAGTAAATGCAATTACCGATGACCATCCAATGTTCAGTTCCCTAGAGACTCTCATCCTGCTGACGGAGAATGGAGGAGAAGAAAAATGGAGAAAAGAGTAAGGTTTTACCTCCAAACCGTCTATCAAGTGCTGCATCATTCCTGGGAGTCTCCAGAGGCGGAGAACACCTCTGCTTCTGCAGCCCAGCGAATCGCACTCATGCGCAGGCAAACATACACACAGGCACACACTCAGTAAAGCAGCCCTCCTTTAATATACACACACACACACACACCCAGTCAATAATACAGCGGAAAGAGAGAGCAGGGGCTCACAGAGATGACATCATCATGCCAGCAGGGCGGACACCATCCTTCTAATGTAATCACAATGTCAAACTAGATCCTTCAGATGACAGAGTCGGTCACATGGTGTGTCAAAGTGTCCTAATATTGTGCAGGAGTCTCCCATAATGTATTTTAATCTCAGAAAATGTTGTGATTTTATCAGAATATGCATTTATTGTTTGAATCATTTTGCATTGATTTCGAGATGATTCTTTAGAATCAATTCAGAGATTCACATCTGTAAACCACACCCCCTTATTATAAGCCTGTTCTGATTGGTCAGCTGGCTAAGTCTGTTTTTGATTGGGCTTTCTGTATGTTTTCTCTTTTGGAAACCAAATGCCCATCAAAAGTTTTGGGAGGCGGGGTTATGCAAATTAGCTGCTTTGAGTTGATGGCAACAGTAGATTCAGATATGAAAATATAACGACTTGTTATATTACTATAGAGACAACTTTTTTGACTCTTTTGAGAGACAATATCAATATTTATCGTTCACTAATTTTTGGTTAACGACTTTGCAGACTGTTTACATTGAATGAAAGCTACGATTACAAGCTCCAATAGAGATACTTTTCAAAAACCCACACATTTCTTATGGATTCGATTATAATTTTGCTAGCAACATCAACATCAACGCCATTTCTGCTCTTTAGCTACTTTATTTTGGTGGTTTGATCTATTAGAAAGCCCAATACAAGAAATTGTGATTCCCAATCATGATGTTTGCGTTCAGGATATAATTATTGCAATGGTAAGGTATTATTGTGGCGTAACCTATTAGTGGATGTGATGTTGCGTCATTTAGATTGTATTTCATTGAAAATAATTGAATGAGTTAATGTGTTTAGTAGTGCTGTCAAAATTAGTGCGATAACGCATGCGATTATTTTGAAACATTTAATGCGTAAAAAAAAAAAAAATTAACACGCAGGTTTTTTTTTTTACTTCCTGTTGTGGTGAACGTGTTCAACATGCAAAGAAATATGGAAAAGACCAAGGAAGCACTTTTTGAAGGCAAGTTGTAGTATAAAGCAATTAATGTTGCATCACCAGGCTATCCAGAGCGATCATGCATGTTGAATCTGAAGGGAGTCGCTCTGGTGCATTGTGTGTCTGTGTATCTGTCTGTGTGTGTGTCTGTGTCAGGGATTGAGTGAGTGATGTATCTGAGTAGGGGCGTGTGCACGCGAGACGTACCTGACGAGCGGTAGGGGTGAGTTGTGCGCGACGTACCTGAAGAGCGGTCGGGGTGAGTTGAGCGCGACGTACCTGAAGAGCTAGGAGGGATGCGGTGGAGAGGGATGTGCAACGTATTTAAGGACTGGGCGGGAGACTTTCGATTTCCAGGAGATTATCATTCATTTGCGGGTATCCGGGAGTCTCTGTGCTTTTGTGGGATACTGCCGCAACGTTTACATTAATTTTACATTTGAATAACCAAAATTACAATTTTCAGTCTTTTAAATGCAATTAATCGTGATTAATTTTCAAAAAAAGTGTGATTAATTAGTAAATTTTTTTTAATCGATTGACAGCACTAGTGTTTAGTAATTGAATATTAAATAATCAATGGCGTCAATATAGTCAGTCATTTCAAAAAAAGCGGATGGAGGGATTGAAGTGCTTTACACACAGAGGAAAGCTTTTGGTTGAAATATTTGTGTCTTATAACTTCTCCCGATAATAAGTGAAGTTTATTTATTAACTAATTTGGAGAGGATCACGTGCTTATGATTGCTTGCAGCTAGTCCCACATTTTTCAATCGAATGATTCACCAATCAGACGATTTCTAAGCCACTATAAATACCCTCAGTTCCATATAATAGCCATCTTCGTTTTG